TATTGAAGATACCGAATTACCAAGAATTCTGCATATTACAGCGTCCTTGTGTATTCTGAACCCTTTAATTTTGTACCGTCACAATAAAAATCGAAGAACTGTTTTGTTGTTGTGATAGCCATATCAGATTTGCTGACCAACCTTTTTCGCTCGGTCAGGCCTCAAAAGTACAGGAAATATCCTTTCTTTCAATGTCCGCCCTGCTCCTTTTCATGATAAACGTCCAAGCATATAACATTGGTTTGTACTTTGTAGGGACGAAGTGCAGTAATGTACCGAACTTTCCTTCTTATCCCATATTAGATGAAGTTAAAACAGACTGTGTACCAAGTGTTGGGGAGTCAGCTGATATTCTTCACTGTACAAGAAACATCACTTTAAAAACACTTAAAAATATATTTAACTTTTCTGAATTGTTTGTTTCTCTTAAGTCTTAACTATTGTGTGGTAGTCTTTGACGTAATAGGCGATCCGAATTATGTCTAAAGATTTAAGGACATGACAATGCCTGAATTAAAATATTCTGTTGGATGGATCCGCAACTGCATACATCAAGAGCTATGGTGACAGACAGTACATAGAAAGATTGGCATAGCGGCAGTGGGCATAATGTGGACGATTATTAGGTATTTCAAGTATGTCAATATAGATATGGGTGGTGGTGAATAAGTAAATAACAATGGTATGCCTAAAAGCGAGACCTATTCAGGTATTTTATTTGTCCAATAGTAGAGCAAGAAGAACTGCTTACTAATCAATTAATGAAGGATGGCGTCGAAACTTTCACATGCAGTCCAACATGCAGCTGAGACACAGTAGCCAAGTAATTTCTATTTTTTCATTGTTTGCCACTCGATTCAAGTTACAGTGTTAACTGTATGACCTTCGACTTTGAGACCGATTCACGGTATGAACCATACCTGAACTATTCGCTTGGTGCCTTCACCATCCTCTGTGTACTTGTTTCCTCTGCTCTGAATCCACTTATTTTGTACTTTCGCAATAAAAAGGAACGGACAATCAAGAACTTCCTGTTCAATGTCATAGCAGTATCTGACTTTTTGACGAACCTTTTGCCAGCAACCTTCATCGGATATGTGTTTCTCAGCTCGACGAAGTTTGACCAATACACACTTTTAAACCAAATTCCTGAGTTTTTCTGCTGCACTTTGGGATGCGTTTCTCAAGTCACAGTCACCTTGATGGCTGTCACTCGGATGATCAAGATTATCAAGCCCTACTTGACGATATATTTTAAATGGGTGCTATCTTATCTAGTTCTCTATACTATCTACATGGTTCTTGGGAACGCTGGATTTCTCCTGTACGCAGGATTAAATGGTTCAGATGAGAAGGCGGGGAAGAAGATGGAACTGGCTATCTTGGACTCGTGGAACACGTATGTTTGTGCTGCTATGAACATGTTCCACTGTTTCTTAGGGATCACCAGCAGTTTTATCACTGTCGCCTACCTCAGGATTAACATGAGGGGAATTGGAGATCAGGTGTCAAAAGTTAGGGGCTCCAACACCATACTCATCATGAACATTCCTTACTTGATCTCCATTGTCATCAACTTCTTGGTGCTGTCTCAGACTATCAAGATAAACGTTGGTCTGGTTAATCATTACATGATCCCAATATTAACAAGTGCCCTCAACCCCACTGTTGTTTTGATGCGAACCAACACGCTCAGGTCCGACATTGCCGCCTCTACCTATCAGTCAGGATCACAATATGGACGGTTGTCGAGTAAACACAGTGGCACTGGTCGCCGGTTGAGGAAGGACTCCAATCCTTTTATTTTACAATTTTCAAGATTGCAGCCAAGTTCCAGTCTCAAATGTGACCACTCGCCAAATTGATACATGGATATAAGATCCGAGCTTGTTCGTATTTAATTTGCTCCTGTTACTACTGCTGCTTGTAATACTGTTACTACTGCTGATTGTAATACTTTTGTCAGAACTTTGACTTGATACTTCTAGTATTTACAGAGAGAAACTCAAGATGAAATGACCCTGTAATGAGTTAAAAGCGGCTTTTATGCTTTTCTAAATTTCTTTGCTGTGGTGTTATGTTTTATTTTTGAAAATGTTTTATAACAAATTGTTATTACTGCATGAACCAAGTACAACTAAGATTATGTGGCAGGATTACAGAAACGGGACGCAGCCTTGTAAGGATTCATGTTCCAAGAAATTAGCTCTATTCGTGAGGAGGAACGAATAGGAAAATTAAAGTTAAACAATAACCAAGCAGGGTAAAGCTTACCATGGTCCAGTTTCAGATAATTCGAATTCTTGCTATTCAATTAAGACAGACTTACGTTATACGTAAGTTGCTTTAATTGAGGCTACATTTTCAAAATCAGCCGACAGCCAAACCACGGTTGGTCAGATTTTATTATTTTTTTTAATTTGTAGCTCAGCCGGAACAACTATTCCAATGACTCTCGTTCCAGCAACTTTTGATACTGCTAAACTGCACAACGCCCTCGTGACACTGATCACACGTGTTTGCCCTCGTGTCCGCCCTCGTGACACTGATCACACGTGTTCACTCTTCCTATCTTATTATTGCTAATCTATAACTTTTTCTGCTTCGTGGTGATCATCATATGAACTGAAATATCTGCTAATATTCAGAATCACAATCTTCTTTTGCGGTACCTTGTTACAATAGATATGTTAATTGTACAACTGTACCGCTGGTTCAATAATTTGATCAAAATTCTTCAACTTGTGAAGAATCCATCGGAATCTAGTTGGTCATCACAAACCATTCTCAGTTACAGACCGACCGTCAGTCTCCTTCTAGGTATGCAAATATGTGATTAGTCGCATAAAAGAATCACAATAGGAAGACATAGTTCCCTTTCAGATGTCCAATTAGTCTAACGACTAATGCGATAAGAACCGTTGTCTGAACACATACCTCGGGAATGAAATTAGGACCTGCCAGATCATGTGGTAGCAATAATAAAAGCTATATCTTTGCAACTTTACTTGTTTACCTTGCCTGCCATTTTATCTCAACATGACATTTGATTTTGAGACCAATTCACGATGGGAACCCTTTCTAAACTACTCATTTGGGTTCTTCACGATTGTGACTGTCCTTCTCTCCACCATCCTCAACCCTCTTATCTTGCACCTCCGACAAAAGGAAAAAAGATCAACAAGAAACTTCTTGTTAAACGTTGTTGCAGTGTCGGACTTTTTGAGAAACCTACTTCCGGCAACTTTCATCAGCTATGTGTTCCTCAGCTCGATTGTGTTTGATCAATACACGTTCTTCAACCAGGTTCCTGAGTTCTTCTGCTGCACATTTGGTTGCATTTCTCAGTGCACGGTCACCTTGATGGCGCTCGACCGTATGATCAAAATCATAAAGCCCTTACTTAGCATCAAGTTCAAGTGGGTCCTGACCTACCTTGTGTGCTACACAATCTACATGGTCCTAGGAAACGCTGGATTCCTCCTGTATTACGGAATACAGAGCACCCAGGAGACGGAGGTCGGCAGTGAGAAGTTTACTGCTGTGATGACGTTCCTAGAGTTGTGGAACAAGTACTTCTGTTCTGTAATGAACTTGTTCCACTGCTTGCTAGGAATACTGTGCAGCTTCATTACTGTAGCTTACCACCGCATGAACAGCAAGGCAGTAAGCCAGTACCACAACATGAACGAGAAGAAGAACGGGGAACAGGCCTTGAAGTTGAAGGAATCCAACACAATCCTCATCATGAACCTGGTCTACGTGGTTTCCATCGTGTTCAGCGTACAGCTGCTTCTGGGAAGTCTGGATTTGAACCAGGGTCTGTTCAGCCATTACATGATCCCTATATTCACTTGCGGCTTCAATCTCCTTGTGGTGGTCACCAGAACGGATATTCTCAAGAAGAAGATCTACCGTTCAGTCTCCCAAGTTGGTCGGCTTAGCAAAAAGGCTGGCAGGATTAGCGCGGTGGCTATTTCCAATACCATGAAATCGTCCATGAAATCTTACGTGTGAACACTGAACATCTGCCTCCAAAACTATATTCTGCTCCAAGGGTTTTGATTCTTAGATACAATTTGGCGCCAGAGAAGAGGTTGTCAACATTTGGGTGTTTGGGATGAACGCCAGCATTTAAACTGCAGTTTGAGAATGAAAAGATATTCCTTTTTGGATCTACTTAAATAGGAACTTTAGTTTGATAGTTACTATTTGTAACTTTATGGTGCAGAACGAAATAAGGGGTTGTTCATATATTATGACATAATCTAGCTTAGGGAAAAGGGGTTTGGAAATGTATACTACTACTACCACAACTATATGCCAGTGTTATTTCTACCCAGAAGCTATGAGTACAGTGACGGTAATTAGGAGTGAGGATAAAAACAATTTAATTAACCAAAAAAATGTAATATGTGAGCATTCCGTGATAAGACCCTCACAAAGGATGTCAAAAAGCTTGTTGATTTTGTTTTGTTGCGCTATTCTTTTGTTTTGCGCTTGACTTATGTTATCTTCAAACTTCTTTATTAGATTATTTTATTTCTTTGTTATTTGGGATTAGTATTTTAACTTAATTCTCGTGGTCTAAATAAAAGTACATGATCTTAATGAAAGATAATTCGATGGATTTATTATTAATGAAATTTGGAATATTTGAGGGATAGATTAAAAAACTGTTGTTTGGACTGAGGAGTAATTGTTTGGGTTAAATATTTTTGAGAATTGTACTTGTAGTGCGTTTCATTATCATCTTCCTAATATTGACATTCATTAATTGTTTAAACACGAGTACAAAGAAACTCGATATTGATTAAGAATACGAGTGAGGGAAAATTACCATAAAAACTTTCGTATTAATGGATTAATTGACTAATCTCAAAGTTGGCCGGTTAGTATAAAATCAATAAATCAACTAAACTCATATTACGCCAACTAATTGATAGCGCAATTAACTAATTAACCAATTAACCAATTAACTAATGAGTAACTTTACCCAGACGGAATCAGGACGAAAGTACCGAGTGATGATTGGACTCCAGTCTTGCAACTGTAACAGAGGTTACTTCTGTTCTCATCTCCTGTTTGTCATGCTGCGAGTCCTCAACGTCTCCTCCAGGGATAACATGCTCTGGAGCCGGAATCTCAAAAACTTCGAGGTTAGCTTTTGCGATTATAATTAGATATTAATTGCTTGTTTCCTTGAGATTTTTGATCACCGATGATTAATGATTAAAAAGTTAAGATTCCTAATTCATACCCAATTGCTCTATCATCAGAAGTTTTAAAACAGATTCTCAGGTGGAACAACTGATTAAATCGTACGAGGAGAAGTCATCCGATCCCAGAAAACAGCTCAGAGGACCTCATGGGCACAGGTATCTTGATAACTAATCTTCTTTATATTATTCAACTGTATGAAAAATATTAGCTGAAATCACAGGTGGTTTATTCTGTTTCACCTTTACAGAGTTTTCTAACTTAGACTGAAACTCTAAGTCTCGCTAGCTCACCATTACCTCACCATTACCTCAACATACCTTCCTTCCTCACCCTTACCGTCCGCAGTGAACAGAAGGCAGGGCTGGAGAGTCAGGAGAGAGCGGAAGGAGGAGCCGGGACGAGCGAGGGGTCGGCTGATGAGGACGCGTGTCCTATCTGTCTACAAAACATGGAGTCAGGGGAGAAACTGGTTATTTGTAGGGGAGGGTGCAGCAATAAGTTGCATCATGAGTGTATGAAAACATGTGAGTACTTCTTCTATATGCTCGCAGTAATGACACCAGCCAAATTAAATTTGGGATTGATATAATTTCAACTGAACAAGTTTTTTACCCCATCATCCCATCATTTGATAACGTGATGGCTTTATCAGGGGCACAGGAGCAAGAGAAGAGAAAGGAGAGGCTAATGTGTCCACTGTGCCGCTTCCTCTGGCACGACATAGACTCTTTCGAGTTCACTGGACACGGGGCCCCACTTGTAAATGTGAACAATGAGGTGGTTCAGGGTCCGTATCAGGACCCCTGGTTGCAACCGTTAGTGAGTCTACCCAACCCAGAGTTGGTGAAAGAGAAAAGACCCATCCCTCCCCAACACAGATCCCTCACACGCTCCTGGGTTCAGGTTCGTTTTATTTTAACTGACCTTTTACTTAATTTCCTCTTTTTCTTGAACGCTGACATTATGTTGCACGTTTTGTTTCACTTTCACTTTCACTTTCACTGATTGCCTAAATCCTGATTGCTCCTTGTCATACTCCTCGGTCAATTATTAATGTCGTACTGGTAAACTATTTGAACATTTTACTTACCAAACCTATACCGCGGTCGCTGTTGCTTTTTCTCCCTACAATGTTTAACTTCACACGTCTTATACCCACGTACACAACACACACCTATTCTTTCTTTTCGTACATCAGTCTTCAAAATGTGGCCCAATTAGCTGAAAACACACAATACACGCTATGTTACAGCTAGTGATAATTAGGTTGAGGTTACCGGGCCAATTGAAACTTAGCATGTTATTATCATGTTGTTAATTAGTGTGATTATTATGAGCCGGTAACTGAAGTTTATGAATTATATTACAAAATATTAATTAGTTAAGTAAGAATATTTATTAGTTTAAATTTGTAGGTTTAAATTATCATAAAACACTTAACAGAAATATGGACGTGACTTTTGATGATAAGTCTAGAGCTTATTTATTTTTACAGTGATTATACATGAACTTATGAGCATTGAGCATCCAGATAGAACCAATCAAAATCAAATGTTAAAAGTTAAGTATGTGCAGCTTCCTTGAAGACAACCTCGTCAATTGGCAGTTGGCACGAAGTAATTTTTGAAGCTTCCGCATAGAATTGGGATTGCATGTAAATTATATCAAAAAACGTGAGCAGTTCTAAAAATAGTTGCTAACTAACAATAACCTGGCAGATGTTCGGGAGTGACGTAGTTAAAGGACTGTTCTCCAAAGAGTGGACGATAAGAGAAACCTCCCTGCGCTGGCTGGGCCAGCTGGTAATCTCCCTGTTCCAGGAGCGCCGCTCAGCAGTGGACCTCAACGGCCAGAGTGTCAAGATCACCACTCTGCAGGAGTGTATGGCCTCCCTGCTTTGTTACATGATCATGGATCCTGTCCATAAGGTAACGGTTCCAAATGGTATTGATGACTGGGTCGATCATCTCCCTGGTCATTAGCACATAAGCATGAAACCAGTCTGGTATGTCATCAACGTTCGAATCTATCAAATGGTACCTTGAAAAACATTAAATATCTAACCTTCACTGTCTTCTTCAGGTTTACATGATAGCCCTGGCTGTTACCCAAGCCGTAACGATATTCTCAGCTCCTGAAATCAAGAGTTACCTCTCTTTTATATTCCAGCCTGTATTTGAGGCTATATTTATCAGATGTACCGACCCCACCAGGTGAGCATCCTAACACTAGGTACTCATCCTATAAAACATTGTCCTGGTAATTGACTAGATAGACTGAGATAGACAACAACTTAATTACTTCCATCTCAGACGAACGTACCTGAACTCGTCTGATTTCCTGGTGTACCTGTGCCGGTACGATGAGAACGGGTCCAGATTCGGAGGAGTAGACTACCTCTTCTCCTTCTCCCTCAACACTCACAATAGTCCCGAGGAGTGGAGGTGGTGGCTCGGCAGACTCAGGGTGGGTAACCAGGGTGGGTAACCAGGGTGGGTAACCAGGGTGGGTAACCAGGGTGGGTAACCAGGGTGGGTAACCAGGGTGGGTAACCAGGGTGGGTAACCAGGGTGGGTAACCAGGGTGGGTAACCAGGGTGGGTAACCAGGGTGGGTAACCAGGATGGGTAACCAGGGTGGGTAACCAGGGTGGGTAACCAGGGTGGGTAACCAGGGTGGGTAACCAGGGTGGGTAACCAGGGTGGGTAACCAGGGTGGGTAACCAGGGTGGGTAACCAGGGTGGGTAACCAGGGTGGGTAACCATGGTAGGTTACCAGGGTGGGTAACCAGGGTGAGTAAGTGTAACCAGGGTGGGTAACCAGGGTGGGTAACCAGGGTGGGAACTAGGGTGGGTAACCAGGGCCGGGTGGGAACTAGGGTGGGTAACCATGGTGGGTAACCAGGGTGGGTTCCTGTCTAATATAATAACCATCATACTTTTATTTTTCATTCGCTTTCTAAATCTTTCTTGTCACAATGCATTGAACACACTCTCTCTGTCGCAAAGGCCAATCCCCTAATATTGAGTGATCTAACCTCTAATGGTATGACAGGTGCTACTCCGGCTCCTGACAGAGCGACCCCTCTACTTCACTCTACCTGAGAAAAGAGACCCCCAAGTTAAGGATAAGGCTCCAAGACTCTCCAACTACGGTGATATTCATCTCGACAGGTATGCAAGATTGTTATCTCGTTTGATGGTATGGCACTGCTTATTTGGCAGCAGCCCAAGTTTTACTATTTTCTATAGGTAGATCTCTTCGGCGTATATATTGTTCAACTCTGTATTTTATATCGAGCTTATCGATACAGATTCCAGAAAATATATGTTCACTGTTTCAGTACAAGTATGCACAAGCGATTGTTCAAGATTATTGACTTTGCGATACAAGGAATGGCTATCTCTCACTTTAGCGTGAGGAAAACGGGTTCAAGAGTCCTCAGGGAATCAATAAGGTTTGGAAAACTTTTAATCGTCCAAATGTTTTGTTATACTCAATACTCTTACACAAATTTCCTAATATCCAATGCAATTACTTCATTTGTTCACAAAATATTAAAGGGATAAAACAAAAATACAAATTTGTCCCTCTCTCTAGGAGAGCCAGTAAAGATCCTGACGCCCTGATGGAGATTAAGACCCTGTTAACCTCCCTCGGCAGAAACAGTAACCCAATGTTAACGATATACGCATCAGTACTCAGAGAGGAGGCTCTCAAGAAACATAAATCTTCCCCCGAGGTTAAATTGACTACCATTTTATAATTATGACCTTCCCTTTATCCGTTCATCCCTTGTCTGTTTTATTTTGAAACAGTCAACTAACAATTTAAATATTTTGATCAATGAAATAACTGTTCGCATCATGCTGTACCAACTGAAAAATTGCTCTAGATTTTACAGATACAATCGCAGGAACAGCAACAGTTTACACAGATGATGATCCCTCGACCGCAACAAGCAGTCGAAACGGACGGAAGATCTCGCGACACCAGTTACTTTGACAATACATCACGTGATAGCGGTTACCATGACATCACGTCACGTGACAACCCGATCAGTTACCGTAACGACAACGTCAACATGCCAGCACAACGCCGAAAGTACTTTGACAGCAAGCCTCCCAGTATCGAGATCAGTTCTGATAATGAAACTCCCTTCGAACATTCTGACAGCTTTAGTTCACAGGTGAGCTTATGTTCATTTTAAATGCGTTCATTTCTCTCTGTAAATCATGGAATTCTCTCTCCTATCATGAAATTATTTTCGTTAAAACATTTCTTACCGTTGGAACTTGGATTCAGGCCATCTGTTGGAACTTGGATTCAGGAATTCTTGCAGATAATGACATTAGTATTACTGTTATCTACTATACAAACGTGTTCAATACCAAACGTGTTGAATACGTAGTGATCATACGTATGTATTATATACTGTTATCTGCACTCAAAAGTTCTTTATATGCTTCCCCCACCAGGGCTCAAGCCACTTCTCTCGTTCCTCCTCAATCTACTCTTCGCCCTACACCCCTTCCTACGCCTCATCCTACTCATCTTCCTACATGAACGAGCAGTCCCCCTCCACCTCCCGCTACAGTACCCCCAGTAACGTGAGTTAAGGTTATCATGTAAATTAGTTCTTGTGTAGCTTTGTTTTATTTGATTCTGGAAACCTGCTAGTCGAAAGCTTTGTTCGAGGAATTTAAAATCAGTTATGCTCTAGTTTATATAAATAATATTTTTTATTGCATCAAAAAATATCTATCAGTAATAACTTAGTCGTGGGTTCAGCTTTGTTTTTGTAGGATACAGCTTAGTTAAGGGTTTAAGGGGCCGGGCCGGGACTCTAGGTTGTTAAGATTTTGCCTCGTCAAAATATTGATTTTAAGGGATGTATTTTCAATCAGAATTTTCAGTCGGCATTTAGATGACTAAAAAAGAAAATAGTATACTCATATACTGCACCTCTAAGAAGACTCCTTTTTTGCTGTCCTGCCACATACTGCAGACCAAAACAGACAATTTCCAATAATAATATGTTACTGACAAGTTCATGCTCCATTTAAGCAGAAATACACGCAGCCAAAAAAGCGAACATTTCTATTTTAACACTGCTATTAGTCGGCGTGTACAGTGTTTGACAAAGGAAATACTAATTACTCTATTTTGTACAGACGGCTGATTCAGCCGGCTACACGAATGTTTTCATCCCGTTCAAAATTACAGAAATAATTGCAGAGAAGCGACAATCTGCAATCTGTATCCCTAACAAATCTTTGTAGAATCTCTAAAGTTTCAGTCATAGTCTTAAAACCAAAAATGCTTACAAATACGTGGCTGACTCTAAGGCTTACCCAGACCTGAGATCATGTGAACATGATGTGAAGACCAGATAGCGACATTTCCACAGTCGGACTACCAACGACTTGTCCGAAATCAAACGTCAAAATAAATACGAATGTCCCAGTAATATAGTGCTATCCTGATTTAGAGCGAGAAGCGTTCTCGACTTTCTTGTTTTGAAACACTTGTAGTTTTACTGTAAAATCGGTGAGTTGAAATGTAATCGTGACCCAAATAAACGTGGGGTAAGCTGACCTCCAGCACATTCAACCCGGATATGTTGGTGTCGTAACCACTGTGTCGTAACTACTGTACACTGTACACATAGAACTAATTAGGTGTTGATTAGGGTTGACGTGCACTAACAAGCTTACTTTAGATATGTAATTTAACCTTTTTACACAGTACAAAATGTACCGGTTTTATTAGCAAGTGTCTTATTCAGTGATGCAGTTGTTATTACGACTTACGTCATATGAATCAATGTAAACGTCATGATAAATTGCTGACTTCTTCACTTATTTATGACGTCACAATTTCCACAGACCCCTAAAACACTGATAATAGAGTCGGAGGTGTTCAAGTTTGACAACCTACCATCTACTTCAAGTTCCCCTGTTCCAATGTAGCTACACCAGAAACAGCTAAACGCGTCGACTCTCCCAACCGCTTTAACCCTAGCAGTAAGTATTCTCATATTTGTCTAAAAAGAATATTAATTTATTTTATCAAATGTGTCCAACTTGCACGACACAGATACGCATGTATTATGACTGAGAATACTTATTATTTTACCATCGAACGGTTTTCAATTGACCATAATTTACCAGTATTGTATACCAATCAATTTCTTTATTCCTGTCGGGTATTCAAGAGCAAAGCTTTATTTCTGAACTTTCTTATATTCGTGTATTTATATGCGGTAATATTGCTATACACCATGCGTGATAAGATAGATATTAAAATGATTCTAATTTTAAACATGTATAGGATGTATGTATAGAGTAACACTATATTAACAGGGGTGATAAGAAGTAGCTCACAGCTAATAGAAAGATCACGACATGCTGAACTAGGGGTCATACGAAGTAGCTCACAACTCATTGAACCCTACAAACAGAGACCACTTTCAAAGCAGAGAGGTGAGAGAGGTGAGAGGGTGAGAGGGAGAGAGGGTGAGAGGGTGAGAGGGTGAGAGGGTAAGAGGGTGAGAGGGAGAGAGGGTGAGAGGGTGAGAGGGTGAGAGGGTGAGAGGGTGAGAGGGTGAGAGGGTGAGAGGGTGAGAGGGTGAGAGGGTGAGAGGGTGAGAGGGTGAGAGGGTGAGAGGGTGAGAGGGTGAGAGGGTGAGAGGGTGAGAGGGTGAGAGGGTGAGAGGGTGAGAGGGTGAGAGGGTGAGAGGGTGAGAGGGTGAGAGGGTGAGAGGGTGAGAGGGTGAGAGGGTGAGAGGGTGAGAGGGTGAGAGGGTGAGAGGGTGAGAGGGTGAGAGGGTGAGAGGGTGAGAGGGTGAGAGGGTGAGAGGGTGAGAGGGTGAGAGGGTGAGAGGGTGAGAGGGTGAGAGGGGGAGAGGGGGAGAGGGGAGAGGGGAGAGGGTCAGAGGGTCAGAGGGTCAGAGGGTCAGAGGGTCAGAGGGTCAGAGGGTCAGAGGGTCAGATGAGTTAGAGGGGAGGGGGGAAGATACAGGATTATGCTTTCCTTCAATTATGCTATTTGACAATAGAAAAACGTCACCGATCAATCTGTTTATGTCCCTCACCCTCGTTCTGTCCCTCAGTTTGGTGGAGAGTGTAGCTCAGGGAAGAGTTCTCGGAGGACGAGTTTCGGACCAGAGGCGCTGTTACGGCGCGACAGCGACGCTCCTGCCGGCAGAGGTACAATCATTACATAAAACACTCTGCAAACCCCGGGAAATGTACTAACCAATTATTCTGGAAATTGTTACCGATTTTATAATGTGATTATAATCTTTATTTAACTCAGGGAAGAGGAAAGGGAGGATGCCCCGCCCACAGTCCTTACCCACAATGGAGGCACTGTTCCAGGATATCCCTCCTAACTCACTCCACGCAGCACACCCCATGAACAACTCCCCCAGCCCCAGGTACTGTCTTTATAATAACCATCTGTTACGTTATTGTGTGACGTCACGTGATCGGGTGACATCACGTGACTAAGTACCATAATGGGTATAATAAACCGCCATAAAAAGCCATGAACTTAACCGATCCTTGTAGGAGTTTTGTAAGAAGGCGTCAGTCTGAATCAGTAGGGTTAACTGTGACACGTGATAAAAAGACCCGGTTCCGGGCCTCGTTTCACGGGGATAAAAATGCGTTATCTGAAGATCTGGACCACTTGTTCCAGCGAGAGTGAGTGTAATGTGAGAGTTGGTTTGAAATGCGTGTGATGTGAACTTATTGTGTGATATTGCGTGATATTGTGTGATATTGTGTGATATTAGAGTGGAGTGAAGAGTCTTGTTTGTTTTTAGAGTGTCTCATTATTATATAGCGTGCAGCATTCAGCAGTTTCCAGTAATCTTCAGCTGTTGTAATTTTATTGAATTAAACCTGCTTGCTAGTAGTTATAGTAGTAAGCTATTTGTTCCCTTTGTAGGCGTGAACATCATTCGTTTTAACCACTTAACGTCCTGGAACTACTACTACTATGTCGGAGCTAAGTCCGATCTACGCCAGAAAACCCCCTCCATATATCCCTGTCCCGCATCAGGGTTCGCAGTTCCTCTTTAGAGTTTGTCCCAACTTCCTTCAGTAACATAGACAAGTAGCTTTGTCTTGGTCGGCCTTGATTTAACGTCCTGGAACTTAAAGGCAAAATATTATTTTCAATAATATTGTCCATTTTTAACTAACATTAGCATCGTAATATAAAAGGCATCTGGAGCTGAGAAAGCTTACATTTCCTCTAGACTAAGTTAAGGTCGACTTTAATCTTTTCCTGCCGGACGTATCAGACGAATAAAAACGTTCGAAGCCGTACAAAATGCCAGTATAATTTGTTAGATCAATGCTCATGCTTCATCTCTGGCATTACAAGTGATTTTCGTGAAATTCTCGCCAACGAACGAGACAGAATAATCTGTGACTTTTACACTAACTGGGATACAAGCGTTTTTGGAATGCGCGAAGCACTTTTTTGTAACCTAAGTTGGTAAACGTACATCTAACTTTATGCGCGCCTTTGGTCGGTCGGTCAGTAGCCAGATTCAAGACCATTATGTTGGTGTAAATAACATTTATCCATGCAACAACTATAATTGGTGCCACCAACTTCATAAAATAAGCAGACTTTATGTTTTGCATTTTACGCTTGTTGACCCTACTTTGCCCACAGTGAAGCAGGAACGAGCAGCGCCAGCAGCAGCAACTCAGGAAAGAAATGCTTGCGGGCGGACGAAGACTACGAGTTAGCCATAGCTCGAGCTAAACACCTTTCACTAGGTAAGGTATTCTGACAGTGAGAGAATTCTATCAACTTCCCCTTTTCTCAGGCCTTTAATATGTAAAATGTTCCTTCTTCATAAAAACATGCTCAGTGAGGGATACCGTAAGGGGTCGTTCACACATTACGTAATCAGCTGAGGGGGGGGGGGGGGGGGGAAAAAATGTTCCAAAAATGATTACGTAATATGTGAACGACCTTTAACTTCTGAGTCAGTCTAACCCCTTTGTCAGTCATGAAAATGGACGGACTTTGGGTGATCCAGTTGCAATTTGGTCCGGTATAAGCTGATCAATTGTCCTGTGTTTCCTAGCAGTAGGAAATTGTCAGTAGTTAACTGTTCAACTTGCAGGTCAAGCTCCACTGCCAGATATCGAGGCGTTTCAGAACTGCAATGATATGATCCTTCACTCACCAAATGGGGTTAGTAATTAGTACCTCTAGAATTCATTACTAGCCATCACAGGCAGCAGTTGTTGTGTTATATCCCTGATTTATGACTGCTTATTAATGAGTGGACGGTAATTACTTATGTGACTATCCTCGGTGCTTTTATTGCTTAGTTTTGTGTTGACTTTGAATTGTGTGAAACTTCACCTAAATTCACAGTTAAAAAGGGTTACAACTGTTCCTTTACTAAAGCTTAGTTATATCCCAGACGAATGGTTCGTATGTAGAAGGAGTACACTGGAAGCGAGGGCAGCAGATAGGAGTTGGAGGCTGCAGCACGTGCTATAGCGCGTGGGATATTAGCCAGGGCCAACTCATGTGTGTCAAACAGGTATGAGGGGAGTGTCTATAATAGACTAATTAATTGTATACATCATAATCAGTTTTAAAAATGAAAACCCCGATGGACTCTCCTGAAAACTAGAAAAATATATCAAAATTGAATAAAAAATTATATCAAATGTGATAATTTGTAACAAATGTAATCAATGGTGTATTAATTTTAATTTTTAAAGTCGCAGGTCAAATTCAATAAACGGCAAAAATTAATTAATAATAAAGGAAAGTTTTGTTTACACATGAACTTACAATCACATCACACTTACGATGCGGTCAGATTGACCACTTGTTGCAAGTTACTAGGTTTTATAGCTGATGATAGATGGACAAATTGTTAATTGAGATGATACAAATGACCATCACTGAAATGTAACCTCTAACTCCATTTGTTCAGGTGTCGTTCATTCGAAACACAGAATCAGAACAAAATGAAGTGATAGAGAATATTCGAGAAGAAATCAGCAACATGAGACAGATCAGTCATAGGAATATAGTCCGGCTTATCGGTTAGTTTATCACATATTCTTTATATTATTCTTTATATCATCGTCCTTCTCATTATCTGAACTACATAGGGGTAGTTCACATATTACGTAATCACTTTTTGGACAATTTTTAACCCCCCCCCCTCCGCCCCTCCGTAATCAGTTTTACACATAGCTATTGATTACGTAATATGTGCCCCCCCCCCCCCCCCCCCCCCCTTATGTGAACGACCCCATAGTTATGAATATCTAAATTCTTTAAGTTTAGGCTATATCTTGTTTGAAACTGTTCATTGAAAGTGAACGAAACTAAACATTATTTAATGGCTATTGTTTTACAGGAGCTATACAACTGGACGCCCACTTCAATATATTTGTAGAGTGGATGCCTGGTGGTTCCATCTCCTCCCTGCTGGACACCTACGGTCCCTTCGAGGAGAAGGTTCTCCTGAACTACTCCCAACAGATAATACTGGCAGTGGACTACCTCCACACAAACCGGTACCTACACAGGGACCTGAAGGGAGCTAACAGTCTGGTGGATAGCACTGGGAGGGTGTTAAAGGTCGGGGACTTTGGAACGGCAGCTAAACTCCACGCCAGCATCACACCCGCAGGTCAGTTCAGAGGGGAGCTGCTGGGGACTGTAGCCTTCATGGCACCAGAGGTACTGAGAGGGGAGGACTATGGGAGACATTGTGATGTGTGGAGTGTGGGGTGCTGTATGCTGGAGATGGCGGAGGGGAAGCCTCCTTGGAACGCGCGAGCTCTTACCAATCATCTGGCTCTGATTTACAAGATAGCGTCAGCTTCTGTCTCTCCTCCCGTACCTGAACACCTTTCTGCAGCTACTAAAGACCTCATTAAACGGTGTTTGCACAGTGATCCTAAGGGAAGAGCTTCTGCTTCAGAGTTGTTAACTCATGCTGTGTTTACACGCCTGCCTCACCTTTCTCTCCCTGAATGATAATTTATTTATGTATTTAGTTTATTGTCATTATTCGACTTCTCAATTGAGTGAACCAGGCCAGAATTCAAAGTCAGTGATACAACAATAACTATGTAGAATAAAGATATAAACTTTCAAAAGTATTTAAACACGGGGATTTAATATTTCTATTTATAAGAAGTTGTTTTTATGTTTAGTTTTTAGCAGGATTTCCTGTATTTAATTTCAATATTTGTTTTAGACTGACATAATTTTGTATCTTTTATTCCGAAACATTTTTATGGTGTCTTTGAAATTATGGCAGTAATATATTTTATACATTGTTTATAAATTGTTTATTACTTAAGTGACTCTGAAAGCGACTGATCTTTTGTTGGATATCAAATAAGTTAATAAATAAATAAATAAATAGTTAAATATCAAATAATCTCAGCCTTAAAACGGTTGTTCCCTATATAAATAAATAATAAATAGTTAAATATCAAATAATCTCAACCTTAAAACGGTTGTTCCCTAAATTTAAGCGTAGAGAATACTATCAGCGATCTGTTTCACTTCGTTTACAAGTTCTTCGACGGATTCAGCAGACTGGTCACTCTTGTCAGGCTTGGATCGGGATCGTCTGTTCTTGAACCAGTGGGAGACAGATTTGAACTCCATTCCGGTATCTCTAGAGATGATTCTTCTCTCTACAGCAGTTGGGTACTGGTTCTGTTCGTAATATCTGATAAGGTAGTCCCGGGCACTTTGCTTCAGGTTGTAAGAGGTCTGCTCTCCATTCCAGATGGTTTTTGGGAGAGGGTGTCTCTTCCTCAGACGGTATCTAATCATTGGAGTCAGCTTCTTCTGGGTTTTGTTGATGTGATTCTGATAGACACTGTCCAACCAGAGGTCTCGTAGCTCCTGTACTGCTGATTGGGGGAAGTTGGTGGTTGAGATGAACTGCTGGAACTCAGGGTAACGTTGGTTCTGGTAGAGGCACCGAGCAAAGAGGAGAGAAGGGTCTTCTTGAGGGACCTGGTTAGGAGTGCTAGGAGGAGTGGGGTAGTGGAACACGGTCGAGGGAGAGGAGACAGGGGGAGTCTGAGGAGGTAGGGTGATTGTAGGATAGCTGTTACAGGGCAGTAGCTCCTGCTCGGGTTTGATTGCAGTATGGTACTGGTAACCAGCTGAGGAGGTAGTATGGGGCACAGAAGGTAGGTTGATATGAGGTCTGGGCTGGTAGCTCGAGACAGGAGGGTAGCTATGTAGATAGCTAGGTTCTACTTGATAGCTAGCTGAAGTACAGTGTGGATAGCTAGCTGTACTATAGGTATTGTAGCTAGCTGTAGTACTAGTACAATTAGGGTATCCGCCCAGATAGATAGGCTGCATGGGAGGAAGCTCCATTGGTGCTGGAATGGAAGCATAGGGGTACATTTCGTAATAGTTCGTATCTGTGTTCGTAGTGAGTAGTTGTTAACTAGAGATGATATGAAAGCTGACGTATCGGCTGGTATATATACTCATGACGTTGGCACCGATAGGAGGTGTGACGATAGCAGTGACGTAACACACCCCGATAGGGGTGACTTGACACCGCTGAGCGGGTGGGGACCCTGCCTAGATCACATGCAGATTACATGGCAGGAGATTTGGTGGGAAGGTAACATGCAGCACCCTGGGAAGAAAGGGATCACATGATCACTAGGAGTGATCTCCAACTGGCAGAATTCATGGGTGATATTGGGAGAATAGGGTTTTAAGATAAGCCATGACAAGAACCAGATCACAAATGATATCAGAATAGAGACTGGATTGGTCACAGGTAGTTATTGTATATCTCTATTTGAACTGATTTAATTTAAGAGTCCAATAGCAAATAGAGTAGAATGGATACCCTGTCAACTTCGTGGGAATTATATGCAATTGTTTATACCAGTTGTCTGTTATCTCTAATTCTAAGGAGGATCAATGAGATCAAAGGCGTTCCTATCCTTATCCGGGTTAGAAACGACATCTGGGTCCCTACCCTCGTGCAAAAAATTATTCTCAATTTTCTTCTTGTATTCCACAACTGTATTTTATCAATTACCATATTATGAACCGACCGGATATCCGGCTGAAGGGGAGGCAAAGGGGATGCCTGCCTTCCGAGATCGCATTAATAAACGGAAAAACATCACTGAAATCTTTTATTTATAACCTATACCCTGGGCGAAACTAAATTAAAATAGTTTCTCCAATATAAAACTGATTTATGGATTGGAACAGCCCTTATATTATAAGGGCTTGTACATCGACTTTACTTCTATTTTAATTCTATATAAATATAATTATCTTCACCCAGGAATTTATAAAAACTGCGAAATCTTGCAGCTTCGAGAAATTAAATTACTTCACATAGCCATGTGTCTACGCGTACTACGCATTCGGCGGTCGCGCGCTACTGCAAGCGAGAGGGCTCTGGTTAGAGCAATTGAATTACCATAATGATATCAAAGTTCAGACTACGCAATATGTAAGTCAATGAAAATAAATCCCATGGAAAAAGCGCTTGATGAATCGCTAATGAGAGCGGAAACTGGAAAAAGGACGGTTAAGCAAAACCCTTATGCAAAGTTGCAAATCTGATCGAAGATATTTTCTTTAATAATATATAACTATAAGGTTGGCTCTTGCTTGTATGTTGTAAAACTAAAAAATGTATCAACTACTATACCCGCCGCGCCGAAGCGGTGGGTTCGGATCATTTCGTCCGTAAAATTTTATACAGTTTAAAAGATGCAATAAATTATTAATATTGCAATGCGATCCCGGAAAGCGGCTTAAAAGCTAGGCCTCCCTGGCCCTCTACTTCTAGATGCCGTCAATTTGGGTGCACTTATTTGACTTATTTCGTCCGCTGCTCAGAAGAACGGAATCGTTTAACATTTAAAATTAACCTAATATATCAATATGTGCCAACGGGAAACCTCAACAATTTTACTATTTATAATTTGTAAAGATATATTTCTACCGAAAGCACATCCAATTTGATACGTTTGAAAGTTAATTGACGTGTCAATATGTCATGTCAATTCTTCGCAGCTCGACGAGGCCCAGTACTAATAGCGCATTTCGTTGATTTAATTCTAACGTGGTTGCGAGAATGGAGAAGCATTATAATTATATTGAATGCGCGGCGCGGTGAGTACGAGTATAAAAGTTTTATAACTTTCTTGATTCTGTAAGTTAATGTGTAACGACCAAAATTGAACGGGGAATCGTTTAATGCATTAATGTTTAAAATAACGTTCGAGGCACCTCGACAAAAGCTACTCACGCTATTGTGCTTTTTAGTTTTACGGAGAAATAAGACAGTTACGTTTTACTTTTTCATTTTTGAGCTTGTTAAATGTTATTCTCTTCATTAAGTTTGAAAGAAGTTACTAATACTGCAATGCGCGCAATCTAGAGAGTGTGCTTTCGGTACGTGGAGATATCAACTGCACCTTTACAAAATCCCACCAAAAATCACGACATGCTATCTATTTTTTAAATTTTTATACTTATAGTGGACAAATATGATTGGTTCGTTTAATAATTTGTTCCATTTCGTATTTGTTGAGAAGAGAAACACAAATATTTCCAGACAAGGAAACCATTATTTTATGAATTTATACAGGTGCAATAAGCAATGAATGTGGTTACATAGTAAAATGTATTTTCTCACAGTATCAAAGTCGAAGTTAGAACTCACAATTCCTTTATTGTTCTTCTACTATCATGCACCGGTAAATTGGGATTTACCAATGCAAAATGCAAATGGAAATTTATGGTTGACCGATAAGTAATCGTACGTGATTTAAAATCGTTAATAATTTTGCACAGCGAAATTGCTAAATACCAACTGTAAAAAACCCTAAATTTTAACTATTTGAAAATTAATGGAAGAGAAAATTATATCACGATTCCGTGTCGATTAAAATCTGTATTACGCATGCAGAGAGGCGCACAAATTGATAGTAAAACTGAAGCTGAAGGCGCAATTTTCCAACCAAATTAGTTAACAAATTTAACCACTAGACACATATATACCAATAACATATTACGTTATGTTAAATAAGACAGAATATATACACACAACTCGCGGCGATACATGTTCTAAAAAAGTTATAAAAAATAAACGCACGCCTACGAAAAAAAGGTACAATATATAATATAATATGTAATCGCAGTTATATCATACCATACATCACACACAACGTCATAAGCGGTGAAAAATTGAGCAACGGAAATTTAATGTTTTTCACGGAGACACTTCGAAACAAACCATGTATCATATTCATTGGAGATGACCTTGTATACACGGAGAAATATAACAGAAAGACCAGAAAACAACATCTTAAAAACACCTTGAGCGTATGCGCGCGTGCTGCAATCCAGTTCAACATCGTATCAACCAATAATGCGGTGGAAGACTTTACCAATTTATGGTTTGAGCTAACCTAATCTTAAAATCTATCTCAGAGTCAAATATAACAAAACTCAATTTATGCTACTAGAATGTATTCTAGTCTAACCTAACGCTAGGTAAATATAGAAAAATGTAGATTTTTATGCTTTATATATCCTCCTTTTCGACTATGTATTTGGGTTTACATTTAAAAAGTATAGCAAATTCGGGATGATTTTAAACCATAATTTATCAAGAGCACTTAGCTTGGCGCTCACCAAGGAGATACACTGTCTAAGACAACACATTCTTATCAAAACACCATACTCTGAAACACATGTGTTAAAACCGAGCAAAAAATTAAAAATCAAATACCAATTAACAAGCTCGCCAATCAACGAAAAACCAGTTAATTAACCAATCAATCAATTAATTAACTAATTAAACTTAATTAGCTTATTAATCAGTAAAACGTTCACAGCAGGTCCCAGCTGATAAAATAAGCTACTTTGAACTAAGAGAAGGCCCTATTATCTATCATAGTAAAACACTGTCAGTGTTCCAAAACAGGATCACAATAAGGACAGTCGGTAGGTTGGACGTTATCTTGTTTTTCTCCGGGTCTTTCAGCCTATTCACTATGGTTAGAATTCTGGATGAAATCTAACGTTTTGTAGGGGTCGATTATATAGCCTGAGGAGAGTGGACATCAATTAAGTTGGAAATGAATAAATCTCGAGGACAAAGAACCGCTTTAAACCCATAATGTGGTTAACATTTTCAACCGCCGTGCATTTCAACGCTGGACCTAAAGCGATTAAATCTGAATAAGATAACCCACGACTCTAGTCTCTACAAGGTTTAAAACTAACCGTTACTTGCAGCAAGAGAACCCTGTTGTCTACAAGGTTTAAAACTAACCGTTACTTGCAGCAAGAGGACCCTGTTGTCTACAAGGTTTAAAACTAACCGTTACTTGCAGCAAGAGAACCCTGTTGTCTACAAGGTTTAAAACTAACCGTTACTTGCAGCAAGAGAACCCTGTTGTCTACAAGGTTTAAAACTAACCGTTACTTGCAGCAAGAGAACCCTGTTGTCTACAAGGTTTAAAACTAACCGTTACTTGCAGCAAGAGAACCCTGTTGTCTACAAGGTTTAAAACTAACCGTTACTTGCAGCAAGAGAACCCTGTTGTTTACAAGGTTTAAAACTAACCGTTACTTGCAGCAAGAGAACCCTGTTGTCTACAAGGTTTAAAACTAACCGTTACTTGCAGCAAGAGAACCCTAGGGTGAGAATCCTTGTCACGTTTTTTGGTCAGTTTCGCCGGGGCTCATGTCTCTCCTCGAGGGAGCATTAGTGTCTACAGAAAAACTGACAAATCCTAGCGAAGTCCAATCCGAACCACATCTTCCATCAGAGGTGGTGCTGGGTCAGCTGGTTACTGAACGGATTGGCCTGGAGAATGGCATAGTCCTATTATTCTCAAGTTAACCACAGAGGGGGTCAGGCGCTGTTCGCTCACGGCTGGTTCTTGGAGCCAACACCCTCAGCCCCACAGAAGTGGGAGCACTGTCGGTGGTGGCGCACCCAGAAAACGGACAGTGTCTCTCCTTCTTTCTTCTTGGACTTGCATTGCTGCTGGCGAGTCAGCCAGTAGCAATGCAGCATCTCACTCACTCAATCACATCAGCAGTTCAAACACAGAGACTGGCACTCTCTACTCCGCCACGGAAAGTGGACAAAATAACCCATCCAGTCATGGAAAAATGACATTATTGAACCAGCCGCAAAACCATATAAACCACGGAATATCACTAAAACTCCAAAGTGAGCGCTCTACAACAGAAAGAGTCCGGAAAGCGCCAAGGCAAACTAGCATAGAAATACCGCGCACGAACATATTTTCACGAGCAACTATAGACTACTTCACAAACGGCATCACATGACGTCAAAAGATAAATACGTGAAACCAAAGATAAACCAAAGGAACATCACACCAGGGTTCGAGTTTAATATCATCTCAACTCGATCCTCCTAAATACTAAAAGCACGACACAACCTCGAGGATCACCAGGGCAGGCCCGCTAGCATAATGCGGTGGTAGTTCCTCGAAGTAACGCACTACCTTTTCCGGGAGGGTGTTTCGACACCTGACTCCAGACGGGTTCTATGGAGTCTCTCGATGACGGATCATTATGGCAGATAACCTTAGGGTCATCGCCGATCCACCGGGTCATAACTATGTTATTGTTATGTCTTTTGGACGTACCGGGCTCTGCGAACCCCATGCCAAGCAGAGCAAAAGGTACAAAGCCTGCAGTCCAAAGGAGCTCCATCAGACGTTAGCCACAAGGCGGACGTAGCCTCCTTGCTAATCCGGGGAGGTAGAGTGAGCACCCTCGACCAAAAAAAAAGAAAGAAAAAAAGAGAACCCTGTTGTCTACAAGGTTTAAAACTAACCGTTACTTACAGCAAGAGAACCCTGTTGTCTACAAGGTTTAAAACTAACCGTTACTTGCAGCAAGAGAACCCTGTTGTCTACAAGGTTTAAAACTAACCGTCACTTGCAGCAAGAGAACCCTGTTGTCTACAAGGTTTAAAACTAACCGTTACTTGCAGCAAGAGAACCCTGTTGTCTATAAGGTTTAAAACTAACCGTTACTTGCAGCAAGAGAACCCTGTTGTCTACAAGGTTTAAAACTAACCGTTACTTGCAGCAAGAGAACCCTGTTGGATCTTCTCCCGGAGTTCCTCCACGCTTGGTAACTGCAGATTGTCGTCCAGCAGTTGCTTGATTTCCTCATTCGTGTACGATAACTCCCTGAAATTCAACGTAATTTAACTAACACTAGTATAAGTTATTAAATAAGTTATTAAGTAAAATAGGACGACATCAACTAAATCTAACTCATGATGCTAACGAGATTTAGCTAAATTTAACTGAAATTGACGAAAACTACATTAACAAACGTTAATTATATCTGAACTACTACTCTAGTATGAACGAAATCTAATAAAATATAACTTAATTTAACTAAATATAACTAACGCTATCTCGCTCTCTTCCATCTCGCCCTTCTCCCATCTCTTTCTCAGATCTCGGAAATGGTCGTTCTCCAAGAACTTCATGTCCTCACGTTCAGAGTGGTGGGGTGACAGACCCTCGCCGGAACCGTTCGCGTTACCGTTAGTCGCACCGTTAGAGCCGTTACTTAACCCGTTACTTGCAACTACGAACCCGTTTCCTTCTGGGTGTTGCTGCTTCACCGGCGCTGCACCTGGTGAGGTTACCCCAGTTTAACGATGGTAAGGTTACCCCTGGTGAGGTTACCCCAGTTTAACATATAGTGAGGTTACCCCTGGTGAGGTTACCCCAGTTGAACGATGGTCCTTTATGGAAATCGTGCTTGGAAGTTGCGATTTTTTAAATAAGGAACTTTCAATATTATATCTAACTGTCAAATAAATAAATTTGCTGAGGATTTATTAAACTATATTTGTGTACCTTTAGCTCCAGTTTTGATGGGAATCATACTTTTGTCCAATGGAATGTAGTGTTGCAACACTTCTGTAAACGATGGTCGTTCCTGAAATATTAACCGTATTGAGTCCAAATAGCTAAAATTCAAAATTATTTTGACATTACACTGCGTTCACTTTTCGGACGCCGAGGTGGGTTAAAAATGGCCCAAAAGTGATAACGTAATATGTGAACGGTCTCTTATTAATAACATCAACAAAATGTATCATTTTGCTGACTTTTAATATATTCAAAGTTGGATAACAGTTGGATAAAATAAATGTTAGCTCCCCAACAATTGATATAATAGATTGCACTCCTCCTGAAAACTAAAAGCACCCAATGCGACACGTTGTTTAGTGCTTTGGGCAGGTTTATTTATAGTTCAAAACATTCTTATTCAATGTCAAAGATGACAGGAATAAGAAATAGTTATGTGGAGATTTTTAAGAAATGTCCACAAAATACGCGCCAGCACTGTTATACGAACTTCGGTAAAAACCCCCAAAATCGCCATATTCAGGTGCATTTAAAACCATTTACAAATTAAGTTAGAGATCTGAAATTTTGCAGGGCGTCTAGACGTTGACCAAATCGACTGCAAAAAAAGTTTCAAGTTTCAGGAATATCGGGAAGTGGGTTTTCTGGAACCCCTGTTTTAAGACAGATTGTCGTGATATGTATATAGAAACGACCGGTTGACTGTTGAGTCAACCGGTCGTTTCTATTTGTATATATAATATGTATATTATGTAATATATATGTAGTTAAAAATAACCATGAAGTTAGATTTTGTCCAAAATTATAGAAGTGGAAAGAAGTCACATTTTATGCGGTACACCCTGTACATTTTGAACAGGCCTGCAAGTGCCAAAGTTCGATTATTCAAAGTAACTACCATGGTGACTACCTCGAAATAAATTTGTATCGTGGTAACGGAAGTGCGGTCAATTGCCAACGATCTACAGTCTCTCACTTCATGTTATTACTAGCCCTAAACTATCTGTAAGTGTAAGAAGAACTGAGAGTGTAATGGAGTGAGAGAGGAAAGTAATGGAAAAAGGGAACTGTAAATCATCAATTATGAGAAGTTAATCCGATCAGATACTGAAAACACAAAACTCCTTCGGTGTGTGATCACTGGGAATTAGATTAGAACCATCTGCCGAAGATCACCAGGTGAAATGAACTGGCCTGTTGATAACCTCCAAATAAATTCTCCTCTGATTGCTGTTTTAGTCGGATCCCAACTGTTCTAAAAGGCCATCTCGTTAGCTTTTCGTGTTAAAAGCGATTTCTCGACGGTTATCACCTCTCTAGATGATGTTTTGAACTAAATGCAATACGGGTGTTTTCGGCCACACCCTTTTTCAGGGTTTCCCTGTCACTTGAATTTTTGTATTTCAGCCCAGAAACGTCGTAGAGACTATTCCCATACACCAAAATGTGCCTAATAGCCATATTTATATACAACTTATGAAGCAATGTATACCTTAAAATACTTATTTTCGGAAATATGGCCGAAAAACGGTTTTTGGCTTGACGCAGTTCATAATTTCCGTGATTTTTGACATTTCCGCCTAGGAAGGTCGTAGAGACTATTCTGATACACTAAAATGTACATAATGGCCAAATTTATGTACAACTTATGAAGCAACATATACCCTAAAAGGCTTATTTTCGGAAATGTGGCTGAAAAACGAATTTTCGTCGAGCGAACAATGACAATATTCACAAATTATGGGCTATTGGAATGTTAACTAGAAAGGTCCTAAAGACTCATGAGAAACATAGCATTTGTCACAAGATGCAAGATGACTCGCTTTGTGTCCAGAAACACCTAAAAAATGGAAATGATCTAATTTATTGGGCCTGGCCAGCAGCATATTTGTGTCTTAACGAAAGGGCAATTTTTCAAAATTACTGCTTCTTTAGCAAAGGTCAAAGTAAAGGTCAAAGGGTCAGCTGCTAACAGCAAATTGTTCGCAATTGCCGACTCATGCACAACATATACTCAAAAACGCTCAGTTTAGGAGTGATTAGTAAATAAGTTTAACTACTGCATCATTTGTGAAAACTCTAACAATTTTTCATTGGCACCATTTTAGCCAAAATGTAACGACCAAAATTCAACTTTTAATTTATTCATTCCATGAAACTATGACTATGTACTAAGAAAACCGGACCTAAAATAATTCGGCACTGGATCCGGGCCAGATTGTCGCTTGAGTTTTGACCACTGACCAGTACCCCACTTTATACTTTATAATTATGATTGACTTCGCTGCCTCGACCAATATTGGTATCCCTGGATTGAGATCTGTTGGCCGCAGTTTAATTTAGCTCATTTACCATAATAATAATACCGCAAAAAGAATATGGGGTCATTCTGTAGTGGGAACCAAACCACTGCGGTATTATAGGAAATTAGCTAAATTTAACTGCGGCCAACAGATCTCAATCCAGGGATTCTTCTTCTTCGTAGGGAGCTGTGGTCATTATCACTAATGGAAAGATCGTGACCACTGCAAGATAGGGCATTGGAGCCCTGTGCTTACCCCGGTAAAAATTTATTAGTCGAGAAAAAAAAAAGTTAAACTTTGTTTTCTCCGCATTTAGTAAACCGTTTTGTTGCTTGTATGAAGCCGATGATCTCTGGTAGTGAGAACTTGTCCACTATGTCTAAGGATTACAGACCAATATTGGTCAAGGCGGCGAAGTCAATTATAATTATAAAGTGGGGTAATGGTCAGTGGTCAAAACTCAAGCGACAATCTGGCCCGGATCCAGTGCCGAATCATTTTAGGTCCGGTTTTCTTAGTACATATTTTCATAGTTTCATGGAATGAATAAATTAAAAGTTGAATTTTGGTCTTTACATTTTGGCTAAATTGGTGCCAATGAAAAATTAGCAGTAGTTAAACTTATTTACTTATCACTCCTAAACTGAGCGTTTTTGAGTATATGTTGTGCATGAGTCGGCAATTGCGAACAATTTGCTGTTAGCAGCTGACCCTTTGACCTTTATATTACTGAAGAAACCGTAATTTTGAAAAATTGCCCTTTCGTAAGACACAAATATGCTGCTGGCCAGGCCCATTAAGAGAGATGCCCAATAAAGTAGATCATTCTCCAATTTTTTAGGTGTTTCTGGACACAAAGTGAGTCATCTTACATCTTGTGACAAATGCTATGTTGCTCATGAGTCTTTAGGACCTTTCTAGTTAACATTCCTATAGCCCATTTGTGAATATTGTCATTGTTCACATTTTTCGGCCATATTTCCGAAAATAAGTATTTTAAGGTATACATTGCTTCATAAGTTGTAGATAAATATGGCTATTAGGCACATTTTGGTGTATGGGAATAGTCTCTACGACGTTTCTGGGCTGAAATACAAAAATTCGAGTGACCGCGAAACCCTGAAAAAGGGTGTGGCCGAAAACACCCGTATTGCATTTAGTACAAAAATGCGATAGAGTCAAAATGTTTTAAGCATCATCTAGAGAGGTGATAACCGTCGAGAAATCGCTTTTAACACGAAAAGCTAACGAGTTTCCCTTTCGTCTCGGACTATTTTGCTTGTACGCTTTTTAAAGATGGCCCAGATAATCAGAAAGCATTCTAATTGTTTCTTGTACAACGTCCGTTTATAATTTACTTTTTTAAAACCTTTTTAGCTCTCAAAACACAAATTAACCTTATATTAATTACGTATTTTGTGCTCTCCTCCTCGCAGTTTTATCGAATTCAAAAAATCTATCACCTGTGCAATATTGTAATCCGAGTTATTTTATTCACATAAACACTGCTTTACATTATCTAGTAGCACTGCTAAGAATTCATCATTCCTATTTTCCACACGCTTCAATTAATCAAACCTGTCATAAACAATGACAGGGGCTGGAGTATTATTAGGCTCCGCTGCGATACAGAGCACAAGATTTACCTATTTTCTCAGGCAAGGATCGTATTAGGTACATCGAGAAGCTCCAACATTTGTAAGTACATGGATCTCATTTGACGTCATTCGATTATGCTAGAACAATTCTCAATAGAGTCGCTGTACAATACTTTCAACACTACTATATATATCAAATAATTTGAGGTTTCTATCGCTGTTGTTTTGTTCTTATGATTTGTTGGTGGGTGTATCTTTATTCATTAGTGCAGTGTGTAATAATATATCAATAATATAATTAATAATATATCAATTAAACCTTCCTATGATTCGATAAAGAACGTCTGGGACAGGGCGTTGTTAACTGTAAAGGTTAATACAGAATACAAACAATATCAATTGTCAATTGAATTCGTCTCATATATCAGATCTCAAAGCCGGAAATTATCAGTCAGCACTTTACATTTCACTTGTTGTGTAAGTCAGCCTGTCGTTAGTTTTTAGTTCATTCTTGATTTTTACGACACACAAACAAAATCAGTGCTGTGTATAAATTCATGTGATGTCGCATTTAAAGTTTAGAATAGCCCACTGCTCTACAAAATGTTCCTCCAGTCAGCATTAGTTAAGTTTAACAATATCGACCCGACTCTTCAGTGGTTTTATTTTTGGTTTTATTTTGGGTTTTAATTTGGGTAGCAAAATACCTCACTGTAATAACTTCATGATAAATTTCATGGTAATTCACCCTGAATGAAGATCCATTTCTGTGGGATAGGTCATGAGACTAATGAGTTTAAAACTTAAAAGTCCGCCGCCAGGGACTGCTGGGGAAGTAAATGGGATTTACACCAAATTCGATGTTAATTATCGGGGCTTTCAGTTTCAGCTCTGTTCCTTTCATCAGGTTTCACAATTCAACACAGTATTTAATATTTATTTCTAGAACTCTTATAGAGCCGTCATCTGATTAATATTTGTCAAATACGTTATTTTATTTTAGTATCGTTATCGTTTCCTATCATTCGTTAGTGCTTATAAGTTATAATGATTATTTTTGAAACCAAACCCCCAGCAGCAACAATGAGGAATGCACTGTGTTTTCTACTAGGACTGTTCGCTTTGAGTCAGAGCACTACAGTTCTCTTCAAACGAGCAGCTGGTGACGAGTTTGACCCTGAAGGAGATGATACCAACCGTGATCCTGATCAGTGCAAGGATCTAAACTTCCACTGCAGCGACTGGAAAGATGCAGGATACTGTTGCACGTGTGATGAGGGTGATACCAACTGTAAATACTGGGCTAGGGAGGGTTATTGCACTGGTGACAACCATCAGGAGTGGATGAGTGAAAACTGCAAGAAATCTTGTAACAGATGTCCCCGCGAAGAGGAAGAAGAAGAGGAAGAAGAAAAGGAAGAAGAAACGGGAGAAAAGGAAGGAGAAAAGGAAGAAGAAAATGAAGAAGAAAAGGAAGAGAGAATAGAAGAGCCAGAAAATCTTACCCTGGAAGACTGCTACGACAAGCCTCAAAAGAAGTGTAAGAAAAGAGCTAAGAAAGGACATTGCACCAGGTCGTCCAAAGCGAAATACATGAAGAAAAACTGCAAGAAATCTTGCAAAATGTGTTAAACCGATAGGCAGAGACTCGTTTTTGAAAAAATTGTTGTACAGTGACATAAAATTTATACTTTTTATAGTACGTATCAAAAATTATCATTTTTTATACCGCTTATTAGGATCTGTTTTCGAGGATATATTTTTTTCCCCATGAGCTTTATGTAATTGTAAATTGTGTGTTAATATTAATATAAAATGTACGCAAATGAAATATTATTTTATCTTCAATACAAGCTCTTTTGTATTGTAAACCTAAACAGGGTTATCAAATGGCTAAATGGCGAGGAGGGGGAGTTGCTAGTTGCTGACGGAATATGCGAAAAATCTTGCTAACAAAAAGCAAACTTACGTTAGAGTCCTCGCTCCATCCACGAGCCATGAGATCGCAGTAGTTGTTAGGCCATGCAGGGTTGATCGGGGGTCGTACGTTCCTGTACGCCATGTCTGCAGCAGCCGCCGCTGTCGAGATAGCTTAGTTAATAGGAGATAACAATGTTAGACCTGTTTTTAACGTTAAAGCTAAGGTGATAACTTGCTTTTTCCGCAATATATGCCACCATACGGAAAATAGAATTGTTCAATTTGACGTCCGTCGACTTTGTACCACCATATAAGGCAAGAAAATGGTTTTTAACGAAAATTCTCGGGATAAGCACGGGTAACCACTGAGGGTAACGGTGCATGTCACGTGGTTAGGGGTCAAGTTAGGAATATAAATACGGTTGAGTGAGATCTGCAACTCACACTTTTCTCTTTTCTCTTTCCAAAACAACTACACTTGAAAACTATACTCCCAACCACCATGGACGAAGATGAAGCTCCCGCCGTAGTTATCGACAATGGATCTGGAATGAACAAGGCCGGCTTTGCCGGAGATGACGCTCCCCGAGCTGTCTTTCCCTCTGTGGTCGGACGACCCAGACATCAGGGTGTGATGGTCGGTATGGGAAACAAGGACTCTTACGTCGGAGATGAAGCCCAAAGCAAGAGAGGTATCCTCACCTTGAAGTACCCCATCGAGCACGGAATCGTCACCAACTGGGATGATATGGAGAAGATCTGGCATCACACCTTCTACAACGAGCTCCGTGTAGCCCCCGAGGAGCATCCTGCAATGCTCACTGAAGCTCCCCTCAACCCAAAGGCCAACAGAGAGAAGATGACCCAGATCATGTTTGAGACCTTCAACAGCCCCGCGTTCTACGTCGCAATCCAGGCTGTATTGGCTCTCTACGCCTCCGGCAGAACCACTGGAATCGTAATGGACTCTGGAGATGGAGTAACCCATGCTGTCCCCATCTACGAGGGATACGCTCTTCCTCACGCCATCATGCGTCTTGACCTGGCCGGAAGAGACCTCACCGACTACCTCATGAAGATCATGACAGAGAGAGGATACTCCTTCACCACCACCGCTGAGAGGGAGATTGTCAGGGATGTCAAGGAGAAGCTCTGCTACGTCGCTCTGGACTTTGACCAGGAGATGGCCACAGCCGCCAGCTCCAGCTCACTGGAGAAATCCTACGAGCTCCCAGACGGACAGGTCATCACTGTTGGAAACGAGAGGTTCAGGGCCCCAGAGGCTCTCTTCCAGCCTGCCTTCCTCGGAATGGAAATTCCTGGAATCCACGAGAGCACTTACACTTCTATCATGAAGTGCGATATTGACATCAGGAAGGACCTGTACGCTAACTGTGTCCTCTCCGGAGGAACCACCATGTACCCTGGTATCGCTGACAGGATGCAGAAGGAGATCACCGCCCTGGCTCCACCCACCATGAAGGTCAAGGTCATTGCTCCTCCAGAGAGGAAATACTCCGTCTGGATTGGAGGATCCATCCTTGCTTCTCTCTCCACGTTCGCCAGTATGTGGATCACCAAGGAAGAGTACGACGAAGCTGGTCCTAGCATCGTCCACAGGAAATGCTTCTAAAGATCGTGTTTCACTGACCGGCCGCCACTGACAGCACTTCACCAGTGCTCCATCAGTGGTTAGATTTGTAACATCATTGACTGTTGTTATTTTTGTGATATTATAGAAAAGGTTACTTTGCGGTTTAATATGTTAGTTTTATTTGTCATGACAAGTGTTTAAAAAAATTGAAATTAAATATTAAATTAAATAAAACAATAACGATGTAAGCCAACCTGGTTTAAGATGGTTGAAGGGAAGCTCTCCCGCCAGAAGCTCCCAGAGAACAAGAGTGTACGAGAACATGTCCGCTTTTACCGTGTAGTTAGTGCTCTGTGTGAAAATCTCCGGTGCCATCCACCTTAGGTTCTTAGAGGGAAGAGGGTTATTAGGAAAATACTTCAGAGGGATAGTAAGGGGAAAAGTGGCATTCCGTTGGATTCGAATGTTCACAAGGATTTCTCAACGGAATATGGTAGTTAGGACCCCTACGAACATAATTAGACTTGTTGCCAATTTTGTATCTCAACGGAAACACCACTTTTACCACTTTTTACCACCTTTGTACCACCTTTCTGGTTTGCCAAATATCTTTAGTTGTGAACATCATAGAAGGCTGCAAATTAACCTAGAATGTTTATCTTATCAAGGAGTAAAACTTTTGTATCAAAAGTTTTTACATCGGACAATCAGCTAATTGGATAATTACCAATTAGTTAATCACCAAAAAAAGTGAAAATTTTTTATTGGCTTAAAATGATTGAAATCGTTTGAAACACGGAGAAATGTAGTTTTTAGAAAAACTTCAAAAATTTTTCACTTAAAATTTTTTTTCGAGACTTCAAAAAAAAAGTTTGAAAATTTGAAAATATTTTTTTCCGCCAAAAGTGATCGAATTGCATGAAACGTGGATAAAAATGCTTTGCAGAAAAACTTCGAAGATTTTTAGATTGGGGAATACTAAAATCATCAATATTTGAAGTTGGAGTTCAGTAAATCTCGACATATTTTAGTAATTAGGAATAGCTTAGCGGAAAGGGCTGGACCTGAAAAAGGTTAACCACACAATATTAGAGTTTCATAACTAATTACAATACAGCTTTATCAAATTCCACATAAAGAAACAGCACAAAAGGACCATTTAAGATCGAACCGATTTTACCTGCTGTACTATCATTTTATTGATTTCAATGATCAAAACCTCTGTCAATCTTGCCAATCTATACCGGGTATCTGAATGTACCGGACCTCTTATTTACCTCTATAATTAGACCCAGTTGTGCAAGAAATGCGATTTCTCACAGGGGTTTCTTTAAACTGTGCACTTTTTATCACTCTCGCAACTCGCAAGAGGCCTGGTATTATAGGGGGGTATAGGAAGCGAGTGTAAATATACCTTCCATCATCCATTGTGGCTTTTTTGTATTGTGAATGCGCATGCCGCTTCGTTTGCTATGCCATATACCTCGAATAACCCCCATATGTCATTGCCAGGGTCGGGATAGAGCTGGAGATAGCATTGAAAAGTTGCTAGAAATAGCTAGATTTAGAGTAAACTGGTGGTAGCTGGGTGGTGCTAGCATGGATGTAGCAGAACGTAGCTACACGGGGTTTCATTGGAGTTGGTTATTTTAATGGCCAAAGAGTGCCGGAACTAAAGTTACTTAAGATTGCAGTTTAGGGGCAGTGTAAACCACGGTGTAGTCAGGGACACAGAGCTACAGTGCAGGAGTACTGCAAAAGAACAGTGCAAGTGATACAGTCTGCAACAGTAAAACTCCGAAGAAGGAGATAAGATTGTGGCTGCAGAGGAGGAGAGTAGCTGGAACCTGATTGTGTTTGTGTTGAAAGAAGAGGAGGAAGAAGAGTTTCCTGCTCTGGTAACTGTATTTTTGGAAGAGGTGGGGTGAGAACTTATTTTCAAGCGACAAGGGTGGGCTGGAAGCAACCAGATACAGCTATCCGACCTATTAAGATCACCGTCCTGAGCTTAACAGCATTTCATCAGAATCTTATGAAAACAGAGAGACTGACCCACCCTTTTTAGATCCAACGAAACCCTTTATATAAATCGACTTTTCTGCATGAATTACTTCATGGTATCTTCTTATCAAGGCTACAGACCTTGCCGTACCGGATTTATTGATCAAAGTGAGTCTCTTTAGCCCTCTTCTTCTTTAGAGCTTTAGGTTAGTGATCAAACTCTTCGCTACTCGCTCTTCACTGGATCTATCAGGACAGATTCACATCTTTTTAGGTCTCAACCAGCCTTAGTTTTCCTGTTTTCATCATGTAGTACGTTCTGCTACCTCCATTTTAGCACCACCCAGCTTCCATCAGTTCACTCTAAGTCTAGCTTCGTCGGCGTTTTACTGTTGCAGACTGTATCACTTGCACTGTTCTATTGCAGTACTCCTGCACTGTAGCTCTGTGTCCCTGACTACACCGTGGTTTACACTGCCCCTAAACTGCAATCTTAAGTAACTTTAGTTCCGGCACTCTTTGGCCATTAAAATAACCAACTCCAATGAAACCCCGTGTAGCTACGTTCTGCTACATCCATGCTAGCACCACCCAGCTACCACCAGTTTACTCTAAATCTAGCTATTTCTAGCAACTTTTCAATGCTATCTCCAGCTCTATCCCGACCCTGGCAATGACATATGGGGGTTATTCGAGGTATATGGCATAGCAAACGAAGCGGCATGCGCATTCACAATACAAAAAAGCCACAATGGATGATGGAAGGTATATTTACACTCGCTTCCTATACCCCCCTATAATACCAGGCCTCTTGCGAGTTGCGAGAGTGATAAAAAGTGCACAGTTTAAAGAAACCCCTGTGAGAAATCGCATTTCTTGCACAACTGGGTCTAATTATAGAGGTAAATAAGAGGTCCGGTACATTCAGATACCCGGTATAGATTGGCAAGATTGACAGAGGTTTTGATCATTGAAATCAATAAAATGATAGTACAGCAGGTAAAATCGGTTCGATCTTAAATGGTCCTTTTGTGCTGTTTCTTTATGTGGAATTTGATAAAGCTGTATTGTAATTAGTTACGAAACTCTAATATTGTGTGGTTAACCTTTTTCAGGTCCAGCCCTTTCCGCTAAGCTATTCCTAATTACTAAAATATGTCGAGATTTACTGAACTCCAACTTCAAATATTGATGATTTTAGTATTCCTCAATCTAAAAATCTTCGAAATTTTTCTGCAAGGCATTTTTATCCACGTTTCATGCAATTCGATCACTTTTGGCGGAAAAAAATATTTTCAAATTTTCAAACTTTTTTTTTGAAGTCTCGAAAAAAAATTTTAAGTGAAAAATTTTTGAAGTTTTTCTAAAAACTACATTTCTCCGTGTTTCAAACGATTTCAATCATTTTGAGCCAATAAAAAATTTTCACTTTTTTTGGTGATTAACTAATTGGTAATTATCCAATTAGCTGATTGTCCAATGTAAAAATTTTTGATACAAAAGTTTTACTCCTTGATAAGATAAACATTCTAGGTTAATTTTCAGCCTTCTACGACGTTCACAACTAAAGATATTTGGCAAACCAGAAAAGTGGTACAAAGGTGGTAAAAAGTGGTAAAAGTGGTGTTTCTGTTGAGATAAAAAATTGGCAACAAGTCTAATTATGTTCGTAGGGGTCCTAACTACCATATTCCGTTGAGAAATCCTTGTGAACATTCAAATCCAACGGAACCCTTAAATCGACCACTTTTCCCCTTACTAGGAATGAAAACCCGTACAAACAAATAGATATTTAATATATAGTATACTAAATATGGAAGATTACCGTATTAAGATGGATATGGAGATATTCGAAAATTAAACGTTGACGGGATTTGATTATATTTAATTTCCATACAGTGAAATTTTTGGTTTCGAATAATATTCCAAGAAACTCATAATAACACTTACTCCGGGTTGCTTTGTGAGCGACTCAGTCATCACGATAAACCTTGACTCTGAAATATTAACATTTATAGGAATAAAACAAATTTCAAAAATACTTCTATTCGTACAAATACATTTTCGGCCGACGGATATTAATTTTATCTAGCAACTACTTGTTATTACGTCATGTACATTGTACAAGCAGTTCCTGTATTCAATTGGCTGTCAATATTGTTTCGGTAAGGAGTTCTGCCGCTTTATTTTAACCAGAAAAACTACAAAATTTCATGCAGATCTGCAGCTTTCTCTCTTACCTCCAAAATCAGATATGATAGCTCGTCGGTCAGCGAGTAGAATGTTGTGGCTGAGAATTGAACATTATTTTAATTATGAGATAATATGCGATACAGTTTGAACACAGATCAAATATCGATTTCTGAATGATTTAAACCGTTTAACTGGATGTTGAGTAAAGTTGAAAGTCAAATCTAAAAATATTTGGACAATTCCGACTGTTGGACAATTTCTAAATACCTGTTGAGATCACGGTGGATGACAGGTACAGGTTTTAACTTGTGGAGGTATTCCATGCCTTGTGCAACGTCATACGCTAAGATCTTTATGTCGAGAGGAGACAACTCTCTGTAAATAAAAAATGTTGGTATTTGCAACAAAATTAATGTTTGCAAAACATCCGTCGGATTAATTTTGACATGTATGCAATTAATTATAAATAACTTGGATCGGCGGAAGAAAATGTGCACCTTTGAAGCTTAATTCCATACTGCGCGCAACTGCGCATGGCGTGTCTTAACAGATACGGCCAGAACTTTAAGCATCAAATATTCTTTCGCGCGTTCCCTAATATCTCAATTTTGACACCTGTTGTCCCAAAACAAACTTCTAATTATAATCCGTGCGGCTGGCCGCGCCACAAATCTGGGAGAGTAAAAGAACAAAATAATTTAACATAACTCACATTTTCTGCTGATGAAGGTTCGCAAATAAGGATCCGTCGGCAGCATACTCTGTCACGATTGCAAATTGCTGAAATCAGGAATTTTAAAAGTCAGTTCTAAATGTAAGCTCGATTAAATCAATAATTATTCGAAATACAACGCGAGGCAGTGCGGACGGGAAATAAACCCACCCAGAGCCTTAACCTGTACATTTGTTACAAATTCCGACAATGAACGTTAACGTTCTTCTAGAAGTTATGCAGATAACTTGAAAGGGTTCCCTCTATGTAGGATCTAGGTATGTGAGATATAGCTGCCACCTGGTGAGCTGGTGGACGTTACGTCAATCTCATAATCAATATACGAGGCAGCTCCGTGGGTGTGGGCTTTGATACACATCACAGCTGACAGCTTGTTTTATCAGGTCTATTTATAGATTTATGTCAAGTTATTTTGGAAACTAATTTTTCAGATGTTTAACAAAGTTATAGTAACTTATATTACGAGGGAGAGACGATTGATGCTTTTTGACAGACAAGTTTGACGGAGTCAAAGTTAGCTTATAACAGTGCAAGATAATATCATAGTTAATCATAGTATTATGAAGGATGAACAATGCATGCGGGAAAGTTTTAAACTTTAGATTCTGCAGTTCTTAAGTTGTCCTTACCAAATTCCACACATTGGATAACCGTGGGAATTAAATATTTTAGCTGTCTGTGGTATACTTCTCAAGCAGAGTATCCCCACTAAACCGACAAAAAACTAAGCACCCATATTTGGGCATCTGATTGCCATAATCTTATGTGAAGATAGTACTTGACTTTGTATGGGTCTATATCCCTGATATATGTGTGAGATTTTAGAATGAAGACTTAAAAACAAAGATGCCTAGAAGACTTGTATGTCATTTTCAGCTTTACAAATTTACTCGTGACAATCTGCTGCCAGATCTGTACAAATTCTGGAGAATCAATATAAATATTCCAACCTATATACTAGATAACACATGTATTATGCTAATTATGACTTCTCCTCCAGTAAGAGATCTCTCACGTCCATGTAAATATTATCAGAGACAAACTCGTGTCAAATTATAAGCGCCCTGTCAAACTAGCGTAACACACTTTATAGGGTTAAATGTATACAGCTAACTCATTGGTCCATTTCAGTCACGTGATAGGATCTCTCGTATTTCATTGGGCTCCCACGTGGTCAATTTTAAACATATCTTATATTTCAGGCAGTTGTCATCGTAACTCTGGTTGTATAACAGTGTACGTGATAGTACGGGAGGGAAGGGGACGAGTCTCTTAATATAATCGGCTCTGCTATAATTGGCAGGGTCTCTCACACATAAATCATGGTGTGATCCAATAAGAAACCAGTAAAATATCACGTGATCACATTCCAACCAATCGGAACCATCCTTCCGATCACTTAATTTTCCGTGTCAACAGTCGTCTGCTTTGCTAATGCGATTAGGACCAATTTTAGAAAACTACCGGGTACACAAGAGTACTGCGTAAAGTTTTAACTAAACGTTTTATTAATGCCATGAAATTAAACCACTAAACCTTGGAGTGAGTAGCTTAAAATTTAAAGCCCAGCTCTGAAGTTAAGTTATCATACTATATCAATCAGCATGTACTGAAGCAGCTATTTTGTAACCTTACAGTTTTACTCAACAACTATCTTTAGCTTTAGAAACGGCCCTCTCCTGCCCGAATAAGGTAAAACAGATCCGTGCCAAGATTCCTTCAAATTGTTCAACTAAAGTATTCTGTAATCTGTAGGATAAATTTGTCAAATAAGGATAAATGTTAAGTTATTCATCCCTTGATCCTGAACAGATATTTAAGCTCGATTGGTGTAACTGTAGCGATTTGTAGTGTCGACGTTCTGGGAGTAGTATAATATTTATATTTGCCGAATAGTGCTGAACGTAACGAGCAGCTCAAGGCACTTGTGAGGTGTAGCAGAGCACATTTGTTGAGCAGACCGACAAGTCTGTTATATTTTATTCAGTTATTCAGTTATGTTAGGAACTATTCCGTTAGGAACCGTAACGGGGATATATTACACATTATATGATATGACATGGTACCGTAATGATTCCTGTTTTACATCATGAAAAGTGTACCTTGAAGTGTGGGTAATACTATATATAATTACAGTATTTAGTGCACAACATGAATGATTGATTTAGTCCCGCAGATGGTTATCTTGGATTACTATTACGATGGTTCAGATAAGGCAGCTGAGCGGCCCTTGGGCGGTTATCACGCCTGTACACTGCAATGCGGCCCTTGGGCGGTTCTCACGCCTGTACACTACAATGCCCAACCCGACGCATTATAAAGTACAAAGGCGCCATATACGCTGATAACCAAGGAGGTCTATGCTATGGCTTACCCGGTACAGCCTTTGTGTTTAGGGACCATGAAGTGACGACATATTATCACGTGGAGTGACGACATATCACGTGAAGTGACGACATATCACGTGGAGTGACGACATATCTGATATCACGTGAAGTGACGAATAACACGTGACATGAAGACGTACAGGGCAGTACAGCGTCACGGCAAGCGAACATATAATATGTTAGCGTTAGGGAGTGTTGTTTTCTCATCTAAAAATAGAACGTCCCTGAACCTGCTTTGATAGGACCCATGTTGGCGGTCAACACCGTGGACGGAGGGATTTGTAAAACTTCACAGTATTAGGATAATGTTAGGAGATATTAGTGACGACAGTGGAGAGAGCGTCATGCCCTCCCGCAAATCTCGTAAAGTAACGTACGAAATTGTATAATATCTCGTGGGTAGATATTATCAGTGGACAGGTTACAAAATGTAGACTCTATCTGAAGTTAAACATTGTCTAATCTCTGTACATTGAAGGTGGGGGGGGGGGCAATGGGTAAAGCTTTAAAGCCAGCAATGCCCATGTGACCAAAAATTGAAGAATAAATACCCCCCCCCCCCCCCTACTTTCTGCATCCTGCACTGCCCCAAGACTTTTAAACAAGGTACGGTTTCAACAATATATGATGATATTTTTCAATATGTCGACAGAAGGGTCTGGCGTTAAAAACGTTAAAAGTTTGAACAGAAAGTCAAGTCAGAAAAGTCAGACTTACGCATGGTTCCTCCATACAGGCGCCTATGAATTTAACCTGAAAATAGAACCAATGTTAATGATGTAACCAAACCAGCGAGACACATCAAGAAAAAGATAACAAATATAAGATGAAAGTACCACAAAGTGTGCTGCAAACAGAAACATCATAAATTTTGCACGTTTAAAAATTTTTTTTATTTAAAACTAACAATGTTAGGGTGTTTGACCCGGCACAGAATTGAAACCTCCCGGCAGAACATGTCTACGTCTGATTTTGCTGAAAAAGGAGATGCTCTGTACCTGAGAATAGTGTTTATTTATTTGATTAAATTAAATTAAATTACATTTTTTAAATCGAAATAATAATATAATATTGAAATAACTTTTTTGGAAATTTTGACTTTTGACGCTGTCGCCTGTCATATTATTATGATCACCATCAACTTATTTATGCAGTTTGTCTTGTAAAGTTCCAGCTTAAATTCATTCAACTTAATTAAAGTATTCAACTTTAAATTTTAATTATACTCTTAAATAAGTACTAGCTAACAAAAGAATGGCACGAATATAAAACGGTGTCTAAATTCTACATCGTCAAGCCAACAAATTATATTTAAATACAATTATCAAACATAATATGTAATTATCCAACAACACACGACAATGCCTTTGTAAAACACACAACACTGTAACGCAGCTCATTATATTATATAACTTAGAACAGTCCTTAATTTAAGAATATTTTATTTAAGTTGGCTCTCATTTTATTTATAATAAGTAAACCAATTCAGTTCGCAGTAAACCAATTCAGTTCGCAGTAAACCAATTCAGTTCGCAGTAAACCAATTCAGTTCGCAGTAAACCAATTCAGTTCGCAGTAAACCAATTCAGTTCGCAGTAAACCAATTTGTATTTGCACTGTTTTTTAGCTCGCTTATCAGTGATCGTTATCAGTGAAAGTGTTACTCGCCACGTCGACTTTCAACAGCGCCGACTGTGTAGCATGGATTTTTCAGTGGACCGGCTCAACGCGATGGACCATGAGATGACATCAGAAATTCAGAAAATATTCAAGGTTGCCAATGTTTCATGTAGATCTGACTTTACTGAGACCGCTTTAATGAAACTTAACAAAAATCCACTCGTCAAAATCATCGGCAGCTTAATGAAATTGGCGGAGAAGAATATTGAACTTTGTAAAAGTGCTGCTGGGAAAATTGATGTCATGAAATCGGAGAAAATAGCGGATCAGAAACTAATTATTGAAACTCAACAAGGACAGATGAATTCAGTTCAGGAGACAGTTAAATCAGAAATGAAAAGTTGGACGGATGTTGTCAAGAAAAACACTGCTCAGCGTCCTGGCGGGAAACCTTTAACAGAAAACTCTATCAAACAAGCCGTCAGGACTGTAAATGAAGAGAAGAAACGATCGAAGTACTTGATGATCTACGGTTGCCATGAAAGTGATAAAGAAGCCGATTTTGAGCTCAACAAAGTTGTCAAGGACATACTTTACGGAACTGACGCTTTCCCCGTGCTCCGCACTGGTGAGGTCTACAGAATCGGAAGGAAGGAACCGGGTAAGAATAGGCCTATCAAGGTCGAATTTGGTTGTGCCAGTGAGGTAGACTTGATTTTGATGCGTGCACGAAACCTCAGAGACAGTGACTCTTTCAAACATGTTTATTTGGGACCGGACAGAACCAAAGAGGAACAGCTTGCGCATAGTAAACTTGTTAAGGAGATGAAACAGATGATCCAGAAAGACTCAAATAAACATTATTTCATACGCGACAGAAAGATCTGCACGGCTGATAAAACCTTATCATCTCAAACGTCCCAAAGCTCCTGATAAGAGTGAATGTATGATGTATGTTGAGTGTTATTTGGTGCTGACTGGAGTTGCCGTGTGTAGATTTACCACTTTTTACAATTAATAAATGAACCGCGTTGAAAGCTTATTTAGTGTGTTTTTTTCAGTGCTGAGACTGGTAAATGTTAAAGTAACAGAACCTGAACTGCAACTCATATTTTTATGCTATTTTCTAGTTACGTCGACACACAAGGCTAAATAGTTTTCGGAGGCCTGCTAGAATTTTATTCTCTATGTTTCTCTATAATTTTATATTGTATGTTTTTTATATTTCGGTACAGACCAGCGCCCATTGGGCGTATTCAATCAATCAAATAATTTGAGTAAGAATAAATGACCAATTTACATCTCAGCAGCAGGAAGATAGGAAGTGGCAGATATGTTTATTTTAAAGTTTAAAATGTTATATTTGAGTTTAAAATGTTATATTTAGTGCCATACCTTTACACTTTACAGCACGAGTGGTTTAACCTCTATTTGGAACATTTAACACTTAAATATAATGTGGAACATTAACTACGAAAGTATTTTACCCCAAACTTACCTCTTAATAGCGACCACCTTGTTTCTGCAGTTGCCTTTGAAAACTTTACCAAACGATCCTGGAGGAGATGGATGTACATATAATCATCGACAATTTGCCTATAATTATCATCAAAATTTTACAAATGTGGATTAAAGATGAATCTTTTGTTACAATATCACAAGATGAACATTGAACGTGACCCCTAACAAAAGAGTTAGAGTAACCGCAAACAAAGGAAAATTTGTATAATCGCGGTTTCAGAAGATTGCAAACAGTTTTCTCACCACTGCCGATAGGTTCAAGAAGTTCAATCTCGCCGTACATTATGTGCTGGTGATGAGGCAATCTGTCTCGCAGCTCCTGCACTTCCGCTTTTTCTGGGGAAAAAATCATAAAAATTAGAAAGTACAGATTAGATATTATATACGTTTATGTAGACAGTTAATTTTCTCATAAAGTAGCTGAAACAACAAATTTAACCTTTTTTATCAATCAGAAAAAATCTAGAAAAGTTCATATTGGACTTACCTCTGACCATGCTTCTGATTTTCCCAAGCGGAGAGGGGATTTGTAAATTGTAATCTGAACCAGAACCCTCACTGCTGCTGTCCTCAGCTCTGAGTTTGCGTTTCAACAGTGACAAGATATCATCAAACCCTTTCTCGTATGCCCATCTGAGACAGCTCTGAGGATCCCCACCGTCCTGTAAATCACCATGTTAGTACCTTGAATTTATTTCAGCGCACGTGCAATGTCGTTACACGTGCAATGTCATTACACGTGCGCTGTTATCATGTATAAGTTAATGTATCTGAAGTAAGGTTTGAATCACAAAGTTCACATAACACCCTAGCCATGAGGCCTGACAACCTGAGCTACCAAGTAACAATATCATGTAATGTAAATGTGTAACTTAATGCTTGGTCTATCATGTCAAGGTTCAGTGATTGGTCTGCATATATTATGTAGGTACAGTTTTTCAGCAACGCATTTACTGAGGCCACTCTCAATGTTCCAAATTTAGAACGATTATGCCATCTTTGCCGATCAGCTCTTGCTCCAAGATGTTTGCCTCACCTCTGAAAGGTCTTACTAAACTCTAGAAAAATACCCGAATTTACGTACGCGGGTTTACTAACCCGGTTGTTCCGTAAATATTGTAAAAAAACAGGTATTTTGCAACTTAGTGCCAGGGGGCGTCTGGTTCAGAGAAGGTGTTATTTGTTCGATTGTCGGAAGTCTGCCAGAAGCCAGTCAACTCGATAAAACTTGAGGAATTTGACTGGTTCATGTTGGATTTAGAATAGATAAATTTAGCTTTTTTTTGTACGGCTCTAAGCTTCTGTAGCTTCTAACGGTGGAGCGTGAAATTTTTCAGTCGAAATCTTATCATTTAGAATCGCATTTCAATCAGGTAAACATTTTCAACCGTTATTGCAATTATCTTAGCATTTTCGTGATGGAATGCATAACTGCAACTGGTTACCAAATTTGTGTTAAATCAAGATCTCCAAGTTGAACACTTATAAAACTAGACGTGAAATGGAAAATTTAGCTAATTGAGTTATGCTCATTTACTTATTTGGTTGATCAATTAGCTGCTAAACTGGTTAATTAGATGAGTTACCTTTTCGTCTGCGAGGAGTGTAGAATCAGCACCCCGATCCAACAAGTATTCCACTAGTTTCATGTGACCATGATAACACGCGCTGTGCAGCACTAAGGGGATGGTTTAGTTAATTAAAACTAAATCAGTTAATTGCTATCTAATTATATAAGGTGCAGTGGGGTAATTAGTTAAGAGTGGTTATGTTGGGTCAAGTAAAGTGTGAGCAGATTTGACCATGTCCGTGACCCCCAAATCTATAAGTGTGATAGAGCGCTCACATTCATTTTCTTAGCTGGACTTCTAGTCTCCATTTTGGAATAAGAGACTAGAAGTCTGGTTTGATTAATTTGAAAAGACCCTCCTGGCAAGCCAAGAGGGCCGTTAGACCACTAATAAAGTAATAAGCATAATTATAGATGAAGGGCCGGAATCTGGAGAAGTCTCATTAAGTTTGGTAAAGTGTAAAAGTGTTATAAACTTTGTTAAGATGTTGTAAAGACTATCATGACCCAATTCTAATAATACTATTACAGTAAAAAAGAGTGCCCAGATTTAAAGCGTACGATAAATCAATATTCAATTAATTATGGGAATCATGAGAAGTGATTTTGTGTGCTACAGAGCGGATGAAGGCGCTAAACCAGTTGAAGTTTTGTTAACTAAAGTAACTAAAGTAACTAAAGTAACTAAAGTAACTAAAGTAACTAAAGTTACTAAAGTAACTAAAGTAACTAAAGTAACTAAAGTAACTAAAGTAACTAAAGTAACTAAAGTAACTAAAGTAACTAAAGTAACTAAAGTAACTAAATTAACTAAAGTAACTTAAGTAACTAAAATAGCTAAGTTAAACTGTTAAAGTAACAAAGCTAAAGTAACTAAGCTAAAGTAACAAAGCTAAAGTAACTAAGCTAAAGTAACTAAGCTAAAATAACGAAGCTAAAGTAACTAAACTAACCGGTGTGTCTGTCCTGTCCCTGGTGGTTGATCCCGACTACTCCCAGATCCAGAATATACCGCACCAACTCAAGACTTTGTCCGTTGGTACAGGCGCTGAAACATTCCGTGAATAATTGTAGGAATTCTACATAGTTTTACATGGATATTGCACAATTCTACATAGTTTTTTATGGATATTGGACAATGCTTATGATCATTATTCATGAACGACCATTTTGACTGCTCTTTTATACGTGTATGTATCTATATTGGGCTTCTATGATTTAAGCGCTTTTTTGGGGAATACACTCACGGACGGAGTTAAATTTATCTGGTTCATGAACTCATGTTCAAAATTACATTAAATTTTTGGATACAAGATATATCTAACACTAGATTTACGAATCTAATTTAATTCCGGCACTAAGCTTTCTGATAATGCTCTACCCAAACCAGCAAACTATATCTTACATGGTAAATGACAGAATAATTATGTACAAATCGTGATCATCGAATATGTTACAGTCTTCAACACTTGACAGCGTTACCGGTGATTTACTTGACATAAATAAAACGGGGTATGATGATAATAATATGTATAATATGTATAATATGTATGAGTATACCCCCACCAAGACATGTCAATGTACAAAATGTACAAATGTACAGTGCACACACACACTACTAGGGTAGAAACAAGGAAGAAAAAGTATGTACACACCGCGCCGACTGGTAATAATTATATCAAGAGCACGTTACATTTTACAAGCAATACTATTAAATGTGCATGTTACTAATTACAGTGGGTTTTAATACCACTAACCAGTGGTTCATTAATACTGGGTGGGCCAGATTTAAGTGTACATTTCTTCGCGTGTGAAGCAATGAGTGAACCATGTTTATACTGAAGTACTGACTAGTATATATTATGTACAGGGTGTCCACGATACATTGAAACGGTTTTAAATGTCTATAAAAACATTTATGAAGGAGCAATCTACTATATTTTCCACCAATATTGAATATATATAAAATCGTTTCAATGTATCGTGAACACCCTGTACTTATATATAAGTATATAACCTAGTAACTCATATTATATACTGACTAGTGTTATATCACTTATACTAAGCTACATAACTCTTATATTCCCCAAGGTACCACTTAAATATCACTATATTGATAAAGTAATAGGATGTATTTCAACTAGCTCGGTGGTTAATATTAAACTTCGTGTGAATTTAGGGCTGAACATTTGAACAACTATGTAACTGGAAGTAACCACTTAGCAAGTTACAGCAAATTACCAGGTCACTGCGCCTCTTAGTTCATATTGTACAGACTGAACTGTGAATATTCGCACACGTACTGTGGTTATACTGAGATTATGATATTAGTTGCTGCATTCCAATTCCAATTGTAGCGGATCAAGGTGTTACAAGGTGTTACAAGGTGTTATAACAAGTGTATAAATTGGTTTCATTTTTTCATAAGATTCAACTACTTTTCAACTTGCAATATTGAGTATTTCGGATACCAAGTTCATGTTGTACACCTATGCAATAACTACTCATTGCCCCCCTCGTACAGATGAATAATATATGATCTGAGAACGCATAACTTACTGTATAACTGTATAAGAGGTAGTTTCATTCCATCTCAGCAATAAAGCGTATCAACTATCAAGATATTATCTAGTTTAAAGGTAAAGCGGGTTTCTACAAGATTCTACACTTAATTCAACATTCAGTACTGAGGATTTCTAATCAAAGTTTGACTTTTTTAAATTGTATGCACAGTAAAACCTGGTGGCGCCATGCCAGCTTTTACATAAATATTCAGCTGTTTTCATGGCAACTTGTGTAACTTTTAATATGAGTTCAAGTGTATTCATTATAATGTCGTGTTTTTTTTAAGCAAGGTAAGAAACAATATTTTAAAACATCTGACACTATTAAATACTGCTAAATACTTCTCACACACCAACAGATGTAGTAACTCCGACCCGAGCGTTAATATTGAAACTTTGCTAACAGAGCGTTAATATTGAAACTTTGCTAACACACTTCACAACGTCACAACATTTACCAGACCTATTTCCCTTCCTTTCAAGTGTAAATTGATTAAAATTCATTACAATTACGCTAGTCTATATACCGTGAAACTTCATTTGCCTTCCCCGAGAGTACCGCACTGTAATCAAAGTTTGCAATATTCATGATTTCATGTTGGAAGTCAATGAAACACATATTACTAATTCAAGAGCCGTGAAACACTTGCCATATCTCCGCCAGGTGTGTTGTACATAGCATCTAGATCTTTCTACGGTATCTAGATCTTTCTACGGTATCTATATTCTAGTGTTACAATTCATAGTTCACCGTGATTTTATTTTCAAATTTCCAAATATTCCTGGCAGGCTAGAAAAAGGTTTAAATATTATTCCTAGACACTTCAGAAGTTTCACGTGTCTTCGGTATCTAAGAGAGAAATCAAAAATTGATAGGGACTTGAAACTTGGTATGCATAAATTCGACACAATATATATAGATATCACCGCAGCCTTGAGGGCGGTTCTAAATATTGCACGCGCGTGCGCGTGCAATATTTTATATCTCCACGAGGGCGCTAGCCCGAGGCGGAGATATTTTCGTATAGCACGGAGGGCCCAACGGGCCCGAGTGCTATACGATAGTTCCGCCCTCATGGCGAGGAATGATATCGTGTATATCCATGAGCGGGCGCTTTACAGTTTTCAACAATCATAGCAAATTGAAATAGAAGTAAAAGATTTCGAACTAAAGCTGCAAATTTAATAGAAAATCATGCTTTAGCCTTTGGTGTAAGATGCAGAACAGGGCAACATTACTGATTATATAACACAATAGAAGAATTGAAATCCCACGTACTATAATGGTATTACACACCAACCATATTGATGAACAGTCAACGGGATGTTAATCATTAACATAGATTAAAAATTGTGTATCTCCGTCAATCTATACTACGAGTAACACAGAATTCCTGTTACCATGACAACACGTCAGATGTACAATGAGAGTTAATCAGTACACAGTGTGTAGGGCCGGTCAAACAATAAAATCAGCTTAAACTATCAAAAAGAGTGCTCGCCATAACTTTAACAACTGTGTAACTATAAACTGAATGCCATCTGCAGTTACCAAGAGAGCTCAAGATAACGAAGCACGAAGGACATTGAATTTATATATATATCAATATTAGTAGTAGACGGTATAGTTTCAAAACAAAAAACAGGGCAAAATTTCTTTCGGGAACACAATAGAATTACAGGTAAAATTCCGGCCTAAAATTTCAAAAATTATTACTCGAAATAGCTTGAGCAATTATGGAAATGGAAATCAGTTGAAATAAACATTGGAGCGTGTATGGTGTATACTGTATAAACATCAACTCTAGACTTCAAGTCGCCACTAATTGTTGCAACCATGGTAACACGTCACGTGTTCAATGTCAGCCAATCATATTGCACTGCGTGGTATAGGGACTGAGACCGATAAGTGATATAGTGCATTCCTTGACCGTGGGAACCATTAAGATGTAGTGTCAGTGACATAAATATGGTGTACGTGTCTTGTAATAGTTAAAGTTTAATAGTTTAGGCCCCACAAATTTGTTTGAAAGTGAAAGTGCTCCGGGCTGTATTGTTACTTGTCACGTTAAGTGTCGTCTGCTCGCGTGCTGTATTTTAAGCGGGCTGGACGCGCACTGTGTCTTGTTACATCGGGCTGCGAGAGGTCAGAAGACAAAATATAGCCCGCTGGTGGATATATAGACACAATGTGATGAAGAGTTTTTAGCAACTGCTCCTTCATAATATTTTGTATCATTTCTCAAAAAAGTCACACTTTCCGTGGTACACCCTGTATATTCTAGTGTTACAATTTATTGTTCACGTGTCCATATTTCATTGGTATTTGGCAAGCCTTCCTCAGAAAGTCAAGGAACGATTTTTTTAAACAGCCAGGCTAGGTCTAAAGTCTGACACTGTTGAATACCACGCATATCTTAACGTTACACATCAACAGATCCGCGTTCTGTTGAGTGAGAATTGAAATAGGAAATATTTCACGGTATATAGCGTACAACTAGAAGTTCAAGTGTATACTTTTTATTCTACTGGCAGACCTTTTCCAGATTTTTTTAACAGCCAGCCCTGTCAGTTACTTGGCATATTTTAATATTAATATAACGCTATCCCTCACACATCAACATAACGTGTTCCTAGACTTGACAGTGATTTGAAACCCTGCAAAGACATGAAATTGTACCATATCACGTGATCACACTTGCAGGTGTGTTTTCTGAGAAGATCGGGTTCAGATTACAGTGATACAATTACACACAGTGTAGTGATGGGTGGTACTATATACTGCATCACTGGCGATCACTACTGGCAATTCAGTGTATTATATACATTTACAGCGTACAGTTGGAGTGGTAGACGGCAAAAATGGGTGATTTCAGGGGCGTTAGTTTTACTTTTGAGTTCTGACAGGAGTTACGACTAACGACAGCTTTCAAGTTGTGTTGTGAGTTCATTTAATAGGTCGGTACATAATATTTTCACCCCCTCAAACCAAAGACTAAATACCAAATAGCTAAACTATCTAAATAACTAAACTATCAAGAGACTAACCCATCTTCACTACATTTTGACTAATGGATTACATGTCAAAGGAACACTATTTTAGAACCTTTGAACACTATTTCAGAACCTTTGAAGTAACATCATTGGTCCAAAACATCGTCCATTATAGTATTGTGCCGATATAATATAATACTGTTCACAGCAATACACTAGGTAGTGGCGGTGTTCTAATTGCTGATATCTTGTAAAACTTGAGAACTTGTCGACCTCTAACCCGGCTTAAAAACACCAAATACGGGTAAGTCAAAACTGGGGAACCACAGATCTCATACCACAACTACTTAGACGCCTGTCAATTATAGTGAGTGTTCAGGTAACTGTTTGAGAGAGAGAGAGAGAGAGAGAGAGAGAGAGAGAGAGAGAGAGAGAGAGAGAGAGAGAGAGAGAGAGAGAGAGAGAGAGAGAGAGAGAGAGAGAGAGAGAGATAGAGTTCCTCGCTACCACTCTCCCTGGTAAGTGCACTTTAAACTAAGGAATGTTACTTGATGTGGGAAGTAAGTGCACTTTAAACGACTCCCTCAATAAGGGGAGTGCCGGGGAGTGGCTGTAGTGTATCACTACAGTGGTAACTGTGCAGTATAACTGTGTTAAAGCCTCTCAATCGAGAGGAATGAATGTTATGGTCATTACAACGTTAGACCGGATTCCTGTGTAATATGTTCCTGTCAAGCTACTGCTATAACTAGAAGGTCATGTTACTATTAATAGATTATTGGATCCCTGTCAAGCTACTAAAAGGTCGCTAGTTTGCGTCAACCTCTGGAGCGTGTAAAACCCTAAAATAGCGACCATCTCCGAGCTGGGGGAACTCTCTGAGCGTGTCTCTACAACGAGTTATGGAGAAAATCTTCGGAATGTTGCGAATCTGTCAAATCCGGGGATGCCGTAATGACATTTTTCTCTAACTATAATATAACGACCTCGTAGCGTAAAACAATTCTGTTATAGACTCAAGGATGACTTTGCATTGGTATTTAATTCTTACATAACACAGTACCGAGCACTTGCTCAGATATAGGATACTGCATCGTAAAGCATCGAACAACGGAAAAACGGCCAGTTTAACTTTTAAGTATTTAGATCTTTAAGAATAAAAACGTCCGAGTACGGGTAATGACTATTAAAATGTCCTTGTAGTACCCCATTCTGGAACACAGTTTTGATGCAATAATAACAATTATTCCTACTAAAATATTGAATCAAGGTTTCATATCATTAGTCATTACCTGTGTAGAGGCGTCTCACTGTAGATATTCTCCGCTGCTACACTGTCTGTCCCAGCCTGTTCCACTAACGATTTAGCTACTTGTAGACCACCGCTATAGCACGCGCTGTGGAAATAGTGCGTTAATAATTAAAATATTGTGGAAATAGTGCGTTAAAAATAAAAATACTGCGGAAATATTTCGTTAATAATTAAAATATTGTGGAAATAGTGTGTTAAAAATTAAAATACTGTGGAAATATTTCGTTAAAATACTGTTAAATATGGAAATAGTTCGTTAAAAACTAAAATACTGTGGATCTTTTGTAGGGAGTCTAGAGGAGGTAACTCTTGAAAATCATAATATATTTCCTGTTTAAGGAAATGTATAATTTGCCTTTAACTAAAAATGACGATTCTAGAATCGTGCATTATTGATTATGCAACATACAAGAGATAAAGCTGAACAAAACATTCTAATTAAGTTAAGCTAGAAATTAGAATTCAAAATTATGCACAACATGTGTAGTATTTAGTAGTAGTTACAAATTATTTTATAATTCTGAGGAAATCATGGGCGTATTAACAGCATTCTACGTGCTCACTAGACGATATTTATAATATCATGGAACTTCTAAAACCGTCAAATTAAAAAGTATTAAGCACGCGTCAAAATCTTACCCGCTTTAAAATGGAACAGGTTATTTATATCCCTGTCACAGCGTCTCAGAAATAACTTATGAGTTAAGTTAAATAATATTATATATCAAAATATAGTAAATACATTGGTTGAGACTCACAAGTGAAGAGCGGTGTCCCCGTAGATGTTAGCAGCGTGGGGTTGGGTCGTGTAGTTAAGCAGGATCTTTACGATGTCCACCTGCGCCTGGCGCGCCGCGTAATGCAGTGCCGTGTTCTTCTCGTTATCTTTTGCGTCAACTGTAACGGGGTTTTATTCAGAGGCGTTGTACGTGTGAACACTGTACAGTGTACAGTGTACAGGCTGTATAATATGCAGAGCATCACTATGGACGCTGCAGAACAACAGGCATGATAAAGGGTACATTGGAGCGGTCACGTACTTCGGAACAAGAGTATACTGTGGTGTTACTGTGGTGTTACTGTGGTGTTACTGTGGTGTTACTGGGGTGTTACTGTGGTGTTACTGTGGTGTTACTGTGGTGTTACTGCGGTGTTACTGTGGTGTTACTGTGGTGTTACTGTGGTGTTACTGTAGTGTTACTGTGGTGTTACTGTGGTGTTACTGTGGTGTTACTGCGGTGTTACTGTGGTGTTACTGTGGTGTTACTGTGTGGTGCACTCAAACGCGGACTAGGATGAGTCATTTTCAAGTACAGTTAAGTAGAACAGGCTTTTACATTATATTTTTTCTGTTGTAACAGTGTTCTAAAAGTTAACAGGTTGAATTTTGTTCTCTTGATATTAATTAATTCTGATTGATCAACGTGGTTGACTGGTTGGTGGCCCCGAACCAAACATCTGTATCCAACGGAATGTTAACACCCAAATCCGCATTCCGGTTTGATTAGAACAATTTGGAAAGTCTCAATAAAATGTCAGAAATGACAGATACTACAGGGTGTATTAGTATAGACCAATATAGTTGATCAATAGTAAGACATTGGTCGCGGCAGCATGAGCTGCAGTCAGGTTCCAGTCAGTTGAAAATAAGGGTTTTAGGAAGAACTCTGGTAGCAGTCTCTGGCAATTAACAGTAGACTGGTTACTAATTAATTAACAGTAGACTGATTAGTGGTGATTTTGTTAATTTGACGGCGTGGCGGTGTTAAGTCAGCGTAACCAAATACCATGACTTTTATTTATCTAGATATCCATTTACGGAACTCAACTTTTTAATGATTGGGCGATTTTGTTCTTGATTACTCTTGAGTGTAGTATTTTCAACCGGGAAATGGTTTTATGGATAAATCGCAATCAACGTCGTCATTGTAATGAGCCATACTGAGTTATTTTGAAGATAATTGTTCAGCTGATCAATACGCAATGTAACGATTTGATTTTAACATCTAGACAAAGACGGAAGACAATAAAAGACGGATTTAATTTGAATGCCGTTTAAAAGAGACGTCTTCATTTAATTTACATATCCTGGTTGTAGGCCAAAATAATTGGTGTCCTTTTGAGAGATTCTGCTACAATGAAATGTATTTCAACATTCAGCAGATAGTTACTGCAAATATGCTAATATATACGGAGTCACCATCTGTTCTTTACTATTTCAGTCGTCTGTAAAATCTTGATAATATATTACTGAGTAATCAAATGATGTTTATGATGTCTATCATATTATAGGTACGAACAAAAAAGAGAAACAGATCGTGAATCGTGATGAACAGGTGTTAGCATTATTACAGATATGAGGTATGAGATATTCTACTACTATTACAGATATGAGGTATGAGATATTCTACTATTCTAGTACTACGATGTTAGCGTTGCTAACCTGTCATATAATCAGTTCCGCTATCCACTCCATCCAGGTACTAACTTCTCAGTTAATTCTGGTCCCACTTTATATTCCAGTGGATAAAGCGATTGCTGCACGTGCATATATAGCTAGTGTACTAAACACTTGAACAAAGAGCACGTGCTGAGTAACCCAGCACGTGCTCAGTAACTCACTCAAGATCTAGACACCCCCTCCTCACATTAGCACCTTGAACCGGTGAGATGAGAATAGGGTGAAAATGGTACCACGTGACGAGGTATCACGTGCTCTAGGTTTGTAAAACAAGTGAACAATAAATTGTGAACCCTGTCATTTCCCCGCACCTCCACAGCCATATTAGCTACCGTGAGAATACTTCGCCTCCTCTCTCTTCCTAGACTGTCAATATTCACCGTAATTTAAAAGTGTAATTAAGGGCAATTAAATGTGATGAGACAGGAAATTCCACTGAGGAGCTCTCAGGGCCATGAATCAAACATGTGAGTAGTAACTCACTGGAGCGAGCTGTATTGTGTAATGTTCAGTGGACTCCCATATATTCAAATCTCCCCGGAAGATGGGATGAAATTTAAAGAACAGACAGCAAAGAGGCGCTTGTGCAATGATAACTAGGCTAGGTTAGCCTGGCCCTTGGATTATATGGTGAACTATTGGAATTGTATGAGTTTCTGAGTGTCAATGTTTGAACTACTTTTAAAGTTAAAAAATCAGAGTGTTATGTTTTAATGGTGATACAGACTGTAAGTGTGATTACAACTGGATAGCTCATGGGGCAAATTTAATCTTACAGATTCTATCATCATTTTAAAATTGATACAAAGTTTCTGATGAAAAAAACATAGAACCATTGACAGCTCGAGATATTAAAAGTAAATACCGGTAGTCTACTGTAATGTAGTAGATTGACAAAAGAGGAATACTAGTTTATCTAGAGGAATCACGTTTCCATATTAGCTAGTTCGAGAAATCTGCATATTTGCACAGTCAATTTAATATCCATAATTCATCCTTGATTATGCCCAAACAATCATTAAGTTAACTTAAATGTATTCAAAATTAAACTAATGAAACATAACATTAATTAGACTAACTCAGAGCACTATTTCCACGAAAAAAAGTTTACTAATTAATAAAGTTTACCACTATTTTACAATTTAGGCATGTTACTTTTGATGACTTTTCTTGGGCCAAAAGATTCAAAACTCAATGACAATATATCATGTTTGTCTCCACAGCTTTGTACACAGCTTGAGTAAGAGCTTGAGAAACTCTCAGTTTCATTCCATTACACCCGATCTAAAGCCTCCATTAGGCACAATCTCTAACATAACCTAATACTCTCCATTAGGCACAATCTCTAACATAACCTAATACTCTCCATTAGGCACAATCTCTAACATAACCTAATACTCTCCATTAGGCACAATCTCTAACATAACCTCATACTCTCATAGTATTAGGTACAATCTCTAACACAACCTCATACTCTCATAGTTGATAGTATACATAATACATAATACATATTACGAGGTAAAACTCAGTCCTAGTCGGGTGTTTTTACAAGCGACCTGTTCCATTCCAACTTCCAACTTCACGACGATACAGCTGTTAGTATCAAAAACATAGCAATATAATTCACAGCATGAGAGGAAGAAGGTTGCCAGTCTCTCAATTCCATTACACCCCATTACTATATCCGGCCTTATGCAGGAGCTGAAACTGTTACGTTTACATGTTCCTCATTAACGTTACATTTGTAGGAGAGCTATCTGAAAATACATATTATTTCCATATTAATATATTGTGAGATTGCAGTGGGAGAGCTAAAGACATAATCATGGCTATAAGGAATGTCATGAACTAGTGACTATTATATTATATCATAGCATAGTGTTGAATTATTGTTAGGCTGTAATTCTATTCATACGCTGCTGTTGTATCTTCAATGGCTTGAGAGTTATCACATGAGTTGAAATGTAACATTGTAACGTTTAACATAATGGTAAGTGATACAGTGAGTCATTGTGAACAGATATTGTCCAGGATCTGGGGTTAAGAATGAACAGATTGACGAAATAAAAACCTGCGCGTGGTTTTAACGGAACAATACATGTACGTCTCATTCATTTAAGCGAATCTAAAACAAACAAGAAATGCGGCCGCTTTTCTTTTGTGGTTGGCCGCTCAATTTCCCGATCCGTGATGGCGAAATTATCATATTCCATACAACCTGGGGACGGCCCAGTCTTTACTGTTTATATAAACATGCAAATATGGCGAAGTGATATGCCGACTGCCGAGCGCCGCCCAGTTAATATAATTCTATATTGAATTTGAAAATCGTGTATACTTCTATGTAACCATATGTTTATTGTTTATGCAACCTGACACGGATCTGCGCAAAATAGTAATAGTAATACTAACTCAAAATAATAATAATATGCTATCAATTAGTGCCTAGTGGGATACGTACATGATGAAATTAATAATGTACTTGGTTGGTTCAGCGCCGCGCGCCAACAATTATATAATTCAGATTATCACGCAAAATAACTTTGCGCAGGTAGTCACGTGGGCGATAACAGTGCTCGCAGGCACGTACGCACGCACGCTCGGTCGCAAAGCTACCATATACAAAAAAAACCTCGATCGCTAACCCTTGTCCTTGACTCTTTTGTGCCTTCGGCACGAGTCATGGATCGGGAAAAAATTCTTGCATTAACAACGAAATCAAGGATCTTTGTGAAGAAAATAAATGAACAATTAACAACTAATTAATAACTAATTAATTAATTAAGTATCCACCATCGCAGTCTTTAGTTGAGAGCAGTCTCTTAACGATATTAACATGACCCCTGGAGCACGCCAGATGTAAGGGCCTATCTCCAACAATACCAGACATGTTCACGTTCGCTCCTCCTCTCAGAAGTTCACCAACCACCTGGACATAGTAGCAATTACTATCTGATTACTAATTACTATCTAATTACTAATTACTAATTACTATCTGATTACTAATTACTAATTACTATCTGATTACTAATTACTATCTAATTACTAATTACTATATAATTACTAATTACTATCTAATTACTGTATAATTACTAATTATTATATAATTACTAATTACTAATAACTGTATAATTACTATATAATTAGATGGATTGGAGTATGAGCTAGAAGTTATAGAATGACCAATTGTGATACAGTGTGTAGTGATACTGTTCTTATCAAGATGTGATTATAATTTGAATTTGTTTGAGTAAGTGGTCGTTTTGTTTGTTTTGGGGCACCCAGTTCACCTCCCAAAGCCAAGGCGGCTACCATCTTACTCGTAACAGATTTAGACTAATGAAGAAAATCTTGATTTTGGTGTTTTATTTTCGGTAACATTCCTCGCAGGAATTAGTCGGATCGGAATCAGGCTACTCAAAAGACGTATCATGGCCGGGAAATGTGTAGAGGCCATATCATAGACCATGCATAGATACCATTGCCTTTACCATGCCGGTACCCTCAACCCACAGAGTGATATTTCTCATACAATATATAGAGTACTTGTGAGGGAGAGAGAGAGAGGGAGCTAGAAACCGGGGGTACATTCTACTTGGGGAAGTACAAGATGTCATTTGCCCATTGTTAAGGGATCATTAACTTTCATAGCCGGGGGCGGCTAATATTGAGGACCAGTAAGCCAGTATTGTGGCCTGGGTCTCTTTTAGACACGGAGTAATTAATATGTCACGTGATCCCTGTTACATCTCCCAATTAAAGATAAGCTGGCCGGAGAGCGAACCGGCTGTTATCATGGCACTGTGGCATTTAGGAGAATACCTTCTCTCCAGTAGGAGACATCTATAAGTAGGGGCTGGATAATTTGAGATATTAATTTGGGAGATATTTAAGATATTATTTGTACGGAGCAGTTAGCTCGCACTTTTTAGGACAGTTCTATCCAGAAGTGAGGGGTAAGAAGTGAGGGGTAAGAAGTGAGGGGTAAGAAGTGAGGGGTGACAAAGGAGCTAGAGCAGGAGTAGAGATGGAGGAATAATGACATGGTAGTGGAACTATATTTTGTTTATTCATGAGCAGCCAACGATAGAGTAAATGTAATTAATAATTATTAAGGTTAGTAAGAGAGATGATTTGTTAATACACTCACCCACAACACATTTTCAATATACACTTAGCAGTTAGCACGTGCAGTTACCACGTGTCACAACTCACATTGAATGTGGTTCATGAGTAGATAACCAACAAACACCATAATAATGATAATTTAACAATCTGAATATATTAAAGTATAAACCCTGCTTCTCGTACCTCATCATTATTGTAAAAGCTAATTACTAATTACTATCTAATTACTAATTACTATGTAAAGTATAAACCCTGCTTCTCGTACCTCATCATTATTGTAAAAGCAAGCTAAGTGGAGAGGGGTGAACTTTACTTCGTCCTGGAAATCTAGCTTAGCTCCCCGAGAGACTAGTATAGCTGCTATCTGGGGATGTTAAATGTTAGAATAGTTAGTAGGTAATATCTGGTGATCTCATTAAACTATATAAAAATAAGTATAAAGAATAAGGAAAAGGAACGGGAATGAAGCCAATACCAGAAGTGAAACCCCACCAAAGAATAATTGATCCTTAGGTAGACCTGGTGAAATAAAGTAACTGAACTGTAAGTTTAAGAAAAGACGGAAGGAATAAAGGAGAGAGGAAATAATGTAATGTGAACATCATCAGCAGATGACTTGGCACACCGGTTTCGGGGGTTTAATACCTGTACCGGTTTAATGTGCCAAGACCCCCTAGCAATCACTCGTCAGTGATCACCTGTTCACGTTAAATGTGATGTCAAGGATGTCGCTGACATCAAGTATACTGTATTTGTACAGAATACTAGGTCGGTCTTTCAGAAGCTTTCTGAATTTACTCTTCAGGAGTCTGTCATTATAACATCTTGAAAGAAGTGTCCTATAAAGGGTGTTGGTAGAACACAGAAAAGAATCAAGGTCAGAGATAATGGAAGAGTAACGAAGGACCTGACCGTAAAAAACATTATAACCAACAGAAGAGGAAATATTACTGTTAGGAAAGGTGTACATGACCACAGGAAAGTTGAAGTCATCAAGTTTGTTGTAAAGCTTGGTGGCGACGTGTCCGGAGTTATTCATCGAGATGTTGATGTCGAGATAGTTTACGGACTTATTGTCGTCACCACTCCTCTCCATAAGCAGGTCAGGTGGATAAATGGACCTGATTAGGTTAGAGAAATGCAAATAGTTCATGGTGTTGAGGTCGTCGACATATCTGCAGTTTCTTGAGAGGAGCTTAGCGAGACCGAACTTCTTTTCTTTGATTAGGCGTGTCATGTAGTTGAATTCACACTTCCCTAGCGAAAGATCAGCGAACTGGCTACTAGAATTCCCTCCCATGGGAATGCCTTTCGTTTGTCTTAAAATCTGATCCCCAAAACAAACAAAAGTGTTAAACAGAATAAATGTAATAGCTGTTTTGAGTTTATCAGCAGAAAAACATAAGTATCCGTTATATTCCTTTTTAGAGAAAAAATTGTTGTTCTTATACAGAGAAACACAAATAAATTTATTCGTATTACTAAAGAGGAGATCTATTAGCTCGAAAAGCAGTGACTGTACAACCTGAAGGTCTAGATTGGTATACAGAGTGGTAAAGTCGTATACCTGCATATTAAAAATCTCTAGTCTAGGCAGCCTTTCCAGGAACTGTTTAGAGCTGTTAATGCTCCAGTCGCAGTTAATTCCAGTATTGTTGTAGATAGAGTTGCAGTATTTGGAAAAGTATTCTTTTAAAACTTTTAAAGCTTTGTTGACTACAACTGATATCTGCTTAGTGGTACATTTACTGGCCCCAGCTATAAATCTAGACTTATAAGGATTCTTGTGAAGTTTAGGAATCCAAAAGATTCTCGGTAGACAAAGGTTGTCCTCAGAAACACGAATATTAAAGTTATCTTTAATGAAGTTCACATGTTCCTGAATAATATCATCCTCTACAGAGTTAACCGGATGATAAGTAGAATTGCCACGACACTCTAGAGAAGTGAGATCGTAGCCAAGTTCGTTGAGAAGGGTTAAAAGATAAAACTTCTTGCAGACAAAAACATAATTATTCGAAGCTTTATCTACGGAGCAAATAATAAAAGAAGACGAAAGACTGTCGAGATAAGATTTAACATCATCCCTTTGTAGAATGGAATTGTAGGGAGTGAAGTTATTAGGGGAGGAGGAGAGGAAGTTAAGGCGATTGGTGAATATCCGGGAGACCTCATCTTTCCAATCCTGGAATTCCAAACATGAAAGTCCATGTTTCCTAGCCATACGGGTGGCGAAGTTGGCTGAACACTCGTTGAGGCTCTCCAAGATTTGCTCAGGAGGAACAGACACAGGTTCCCTAAATTTGGTACCGTAACTCATGATGCCTCTTAAATCCTCGTGCTCAATGAAAGCAAGGTCACCGGTGATGATGTGGCCTCGAGGCTGATAGCAATAAGGGTTACTGGAACAGGGGCAATCACCTTCCAGGATGGAGGAAATAGTAGTATTATCAAGTGATTTAAGGAATCTATTATAATTAAAAAGCTTACGCCCGACAGGAATATCGTACTTATAGTAAACTTTTAAGGGAAGGAAAGGCGTAAGGTTTGGAGGGAGAAGAGTCAAGATCCTAGAGTCACGAATGACTGATTCTATTCGGAGTTTATCAAATATTTTAGAACAATAGTGAAAAGTGATAAACTCGCTATTAACAGAGGTGATATTAGGAGAAGAAGTGCTGTCTTGGCCAGCAAAAGATTGTATAACAAGGAAAATGGCTCCAGATTTGCAGAGGGAATGAGAGCTAAGTTGCTTGAGCTCGCCTTTTTGAAGGCTACTTATATCTTTATAAAAGCTGTATTTGCTTTCAGACATTTTTCTTTTTAAACTTTCATATTTATTGTCAATCTCTCTTAAAGTGAGAGTCCTTTTGTATATTCTATCTTCATGGCTTTTGTTTTTCTTTTTTCTGCCATGTCCTCTTTTATATCTTTTTATTTTACTTTTAAAATAAATATCGTTAAAGTTGCTTTTAGAAATATTACCAGAACCTTTTATGTTGTCATTGAGACCTAGAGGGTGAGCAGTGCTCAGGAGATTAATCCAAAGAAGTTCCCTGTCAGCTAAGGCCAGACGAGGGTCTTCAGTAGAGGAAGGGTCAATAAAATCAATAATTTGAATGGAGGCGTCATGAAAATTATGACCGGGAGTATTAAAGTGGTCATGGACAAAGGAGGATTTGCCGGCTTTAACCGAAGCACGGTGTCCATTCATGCGTTCATTAAGGCGCTGTTCTGTGAGCCCAACATATTGAATACCACAAGAACAAGTGAGGAGATAGATAATAGAAGGTGATGTTAGAATAGTTGGCGGCCGCGTTATCTGATGATTCTAGAATTAAGGTGTTATTGAATATTTAGAATGGTGATGTTAGAATAGTTGGCGGCCGCGTTATCTGATGATTCTAGAATTAAGGTGTTATTGAATATTGAGATTTGAGGCGTGGGGTCAGCCCAAATATCGACTAATATCGACCGGTCGATATTAGTCGCCTCAAGTCGCCCATGGGCCTTTGGTGATGCGTTCAGATTAAAGACCAGGTCGGTAGTCAGTGAAACCATACTGTTCTAGTCAGTGAGTCTGCTAGAGCAGGGTATAATTTAACTGATAATCATAAAACTGAGTTTAGTTATACCACGTTAGAACAAAGATCTGTCCGACACGAGATTATTATATCGTGATGCATTATATCATGCTATATCAGATAATAATCAATACCGCAACAATACGTTTTGCAGCTCACATTAAATCATTCCAACTATAAAAATAACTTTAAAATACAGAGTATTGTGTAGAATGTATCTCCACTGGCACCTCAGTTCTGAATCCATACAGGGTAACATCGCGAGTGGATGAGATCACATTTGTATTTGTACAATACGTGAAATCACCATAACAGATGGGCTTTAGATGATACGAGATACGCATCGCGGCCTTCTTGACGTTGGTGAACTGGGTCAAATACCGGGTACCGGTGAAGAACTGCGCCGGTTGAGAGCCGGTTGAGAGCCGGTGAAGAGCCGGTGAATAGCCGGTGAATAGCCGGTGAAAACCAACCCTACGACCGCTGAACAGTGAAACTGTATTTTAAATACCAACCACAAACTGGTTACTAGCCAGCTACTCCAAAGTGGCAATTACTCGATCTTGAGCGGTATCTAATATCTGGTGAGATACCAGGTCCATTTTGAATGCCCAATTGTGATGGAGCGCGGGGTATTGTTTGTTTCAATTTGCAAACAATTTGTACGACATGTTATACAGACCTACGGCATGGGGGAGCGGTAAGTGTGGATAGTAAATATTACAGTTAAAATGTACTTTTTAGACAGTGTAAAGTCAGTTGGGTGATACAGATTATAGTGTGTCACCGGATAAAGGTGACGAGACAACCATTTCTTCCCTGTGGTAACTTTATAAACAGTCTCCCCAATAGTCTATAGTATTACTTTGAAGTAAAGTGTCATGGGGCGGGCCAGGAAGACGTGTCTGACTTACAATTGTTCTGCATAATAGCTGCATGTGTAATAGTTATTAAGTTAGATGTTCTAGGCTGTTGGGAGGGATGGTAGAGTTAGGCAGGCCAGGGTTGCACTTCACTAATCACACCCTATTTCCTAGGGTGTAAATTATGTCTACTCAACAATCTTATCTGTTTAACACTTAACGTAAAATCTTCATTGTTATGCATAAAATAATTATGGTTATAATAATATGATTTAATAATAAATTGATGTTTAATAACAAGATAAAACTTATATACTTAGCAATGTTTAATCGAAACATCCCAGAAATGTACTTAAATATTAATATTATTAATATTATTAAGAGATTTAAATGATTAAAAGAGATAATGATACAGAGTTCAGTTATATTTTCTTCTCAGTAAAGGAAGTTACACAGGCTCTCTTGCTGGTCCACTGTGCTAACCGCACCCAATTCCACTGTGCTAACCGCACGCAATTCCACAGTGCTAACCGCACGCAATTCCACAGTGCTAACCGCACCCAATTCCAGAAAGTGTAAATTGTGTCTATACTGAACATCACCTAACTAGCTACCTAGTACCAATACAGTGGACCAGTGTACCAATACAGTGGACCAGTGTGCCAATACAGTGGACCAGTGTACCAATACAGTGGACCAGTGTACCAATACAGTGGACCAGTGTGCCACCTACGTCACACCTCTTCAGCTTTATTTAGGCAGCACTATATTAACATAAGTACCCACTCAATTAAGTTCACTGTTTCAGTACCTGCATTGTGTAGGCAATGGACAAGAACGTGGCATTTTATTTCTAGCTATAGACAGTAGACAGTTCCAGACGCTACAGCCTTTTTCACAGTTTCTGTCTCTTAAATGAGTCTAAACTCTAGACTAAAAACGTCTCCAATTATATGGATTTAAACTAAAACTCTCGTTCCAGACATCACAAGAGACAAGTGACAACAGACGTATTTTACAGCTGCAGTCTCTCGTGCCATCTGCAATCGGTCTTAACCAACAGAAAAGTTGTACAGTTTCTGTTTCTTGTTCCTTCCAAAGTCAGAACCAACAACTCAGCAGATATATTTTAGGTAAGTGCTGTAAACCAGGACTTTTTTCCTTTTTTTAAAAGAGAGGAAAAAAACCAAGACTTGTTCTAGACATCACGAGAAACTACAGCTATATTTACAGCGGTTCTCTCTCATCTAGAATAGGTTTTAACTTGTAGTACAGCTCTAAAACATTATTCTAGAAGCTTCTCCAGAGGACAACATACCTCATGCAGACCGAGGAGAGCAGCGAGGTGTAGGGGTGTTACACCCAGGGTTCCCTGAGCAGATACGTCAGCTCCTTTGCTGGACAACACCTCCACATTATCTACCTTATCCTGGGGAGAATGTTCTGGTTAGAGGGGGGAGGGAAGGTGACAAGGTGACAAGGTGACAAGGTGACAAGGTGACAGGGTAGGAACACCTCACAGTTGGTTAAAATATATTTAGACTATATCGCGACCAAAAAAAGCTGGCCGCTGAAAGCTCTAAGTTGCAATAGCATTACACTATTTAAAGCTTGAAATTTTAGAGGCCAACTATTCGCCCTATCACATACTTAAGCCAAGGGCGTTGCTCAGTCAGAGCCTTTAAACAACCCGTCAAATTGAAATGAACTTCACTAAAACCTTAGTAAAGATGTTCAGTAGGTGCCAGGCTATATTTAGTTTAAGTGTGTATGAAACCGTGCTAGAGCTACGTGTATCCCGCGCTTTACAGCTCTTAATATATTATTTTGTAGACTAGCTGCTATAATATCTTGTTATGTAGGCAGCTCAGAAAATTAGTCCAGCGCATTGAATTGGATTGAAGGGCACTCTTGAGTCTAGACTCAAAGCAAAAGAGGACGACCCCTAATACGCATAGGCCATAGAAGAAGGGGGCCGATAGTTCATTATATCTACTGTACTCGGTCACAAAGGACTGTGGAAGTAGAAAGTGGACTGCATCTATAAATATAATGGAACGCACAGCTCATCGAAAGCAGAGAGAGGAAGGCCTTGTCAATTGTTCACCACATGTAATGGGATTACACAAATAGTAAGCCGTGTTAACCATCAGAGAGGAGACCTGCCATACGAAAGGGCCGCCACACATCAGGATATATTGTATGATAACACCCAGATTAGAGGCACCTACTGATGGAGCCACACATCAGGATATATTGTATGATAACACCCAGATTAGAGGCACCTACTGATGTAGCCACACATCAGGATATATTGTATGATAACACCCAGATTAGAGGCACCTACTGATGGAGCCACACATCAGGATATATTGTATGATAACACCCAGATTAGAGGCACCTACTGATGGAGCCACACATCAGGATATATTGTATGATAACACCCAGATTAGAGGCACCTACTGATGGAGCCACACATCAGGATATATTGTATGATAACACCCAGATTAGAGGCACCTACTGATGGAGCCACACATCAGGATATATTGTATGATAACACCCAGATTAGAGGCACCTGCCACCTACTGATGGAGCCACACATCAGGATATATTGTATGATAACACCCAGATTAGAGGCACCTACTGATGGAGCCACACATCAGGATATATTGTATGATAACACCCAGATTAGAGGCACCTACTGATGGAGCCACACATCAGGATATATTGTATGATAACACCCAGATTAGAGGCACCTACTGATGGAGCCACACATCAGGATATATTGTATGATAACACCCAGATTAGAGGCACCTACTGATGGAGCCACACATCAGGATATATTGTATGATAACACCCAGATTAGAGGCACCTACTGATGGAGCCACACATCAGGATATATTGTATGATAACACCCAGATTAGAGGCACCTACTGATGGAGCCACACATCAGGATATATTGTATGATAACACCCAGATTAGAGGCACCTGCCACCTACTGATGGAGCCACACATCAGGATATATTGTATGATAACACCCAGATTAGAGGCACCTACTGATGGAGCCACACATCAGGATATATTGTATGATAACACCCAGATTAGAGACACCTACTGATGGAGCCACACATCAGGATATATTGTATGATAACACCCAGATTAGAGGCACCTACTGATGGATGGGTTCTAGTGTTGTATAATGATACCGATCACTACTGCAATTTATTGAACTTATTCTAGGAGTTCATAGTAAAGTTTTATTTGGCACTATATCTTTTCTAATATTTACAAATTTTTTCTAATTTATATAACAAGGTCTATGTATTAGTATTATCAAGGAGTGGCCTTGAATTGAGGTAAAATAACCGTTTAGGTACTTCATCATTAAAGTTAGGTACTTCATCATTAAAGTTAATAGAGAAATTCGCAAATAAGTGTACAGAAATGTGTCCAGATCTTTACAATAAACTCACGGAATAAGTAGCGAAGTGGAGAGCAGTGAACTCGTGCCTGGAGTAAGTGTTGAGGATAGATCCTGCCTCCAAGAGCGCCCCTACTTGTTGTCCCGTACCTGGGGAGTTGTATCATCAGACTGGGGGGGGGGGCCGGGGGGCGGCGCGGGGGTGGGGGCGGGGGTGGGGGTAGTGGGAGTTGTTACACAATACACATAACAACTTACAATATTGTGTGACGTTATTATTTGTACGGCAAATATTTGAGCATATTATTACGTTTTATCATTACGGTTACAAGTCAACATGGATCCTCCAATTCCATATATCTTTACATTTTTTTTTAAATATAATATTTTCCGAATTGCCAATTAGCATTGTTTCGTAAAGTTCGTAAAGTATAGCCTATCGGACCTGTCCTTTATAATCGTATGTATAGAATATTGGGCAGCAAAATAGAGAATAACCTGAGTCTCGTGAGTCCATATGAGCATTTTGATGGGTACAAAACCACCCAGCATGAGGCAGCACGGTTTTAAGAATTACTGCTTTTAAGGGATGTCTAGATTACGACATATCCCATTTTTATCTCTCCATTTTACCCAATTACTACCGACAAAAAGCTGTCGGAGACGGTCAAATATCTCCCACACAGCGCAAATATCTCCCGCAGTCGACATAAAAAGACGGAAGGTAAGCCTTCTAGACGCAGACACCAGACAATGTAATATCACACGTGATCAGAAGATCTGTCACGTGACCAGAACCAAAAACACCACGTGATCAGAAGAAATGTCACGTGATCAGAACCAATAAAATCACGTGATCAGAAGATCTTACACTCGGTCAACTTTAACACGGGCTCTGTCAGGGTACACGGTGGTGACAGCTGCGTACATAACGTAACACGTTTCTTAGTTATTTAGTTCGTTACACAATATACAACATGATAGTAGGTATGGCCATCAATATAAGCAGCCAGAGTAGAGTAAAATTGTGGTTCAGTATTTAGTGTTTAGGACCACCACTTTAATCGCGTAGAGAAATTATGAGTATACATTTAGTACAATTATGGGACCACAATGTCAATATGTAAATTTCATGCTTCGTCATAACTGAAATATGCCCAATATCCTCTGTCAACACTCAAAGAGTTGGTTTCGAAATTGCTCCCCCAACGTTCTGGTGGTTCAACTACTTCGCTACAGAATACTTTAACATATATAACATCCGCTCTATCCCCTTAATTCCTTTAATGAAACTAAACGTATATAGCAAGTTTTGAATTCTTTTTATAAAAGCCGGAAATCAAGTCAGTTTCACTTTCAAGTAATATATTATCATTTAAACTGAAAAGGGTGACAGAGAAGTGAGGCGTACCGTGAGCACTGAGAATATGTAGAGGTGTGGTCCCAGTTTCCAGGTTAGCGTTCACGTCGATGTCTTTGGAGGCTAAAAACTCAATCACGTCGTCTCTGAACAATATTCTTAGAAATATTTTATAAAACAGGCTAGGAGGAGTTAAAAGAATTTTTAGGATCTTGGTAAATTATGATTTGAGTTTTGATACCGCACACGTTATACAGTGCAAAATGTGAGCTGTTATCAAAAATGTAACTTACTTTTCCAAGCAACTCTTCCAAACACTGTCAAGCTGGGCCGGGGAACATTCTCCGTCGAGCTTCTTACACACAAACTGGTAACTGTCGACCAGCTTCCGTTTAAATTCATCTGAAGAAATACAGTTATTTGGCTCAGTATACTACATGACAGCAAAAACTAATTTTTTGACAGAGTTTTCAAAATTTGAGCCTGATAGAATGTAATCTGCTGAAAGCAGGAAATTAAGGTACAACAAAATGGTGTTTTTCATTTCTCAGTTCTTGGGACAACGTACCTGCACAAACTTGGGTTGGCCGCGACTTGTACGCGCCCATATTCTAGCATCATTTGTTGCCCACACCGGGGCTTCGGATATACATTACGTCATTACAAACCTATCAGAACCTATAGGGAAATGTTATTATAATAATCTTGTAGTGTACCAGTAAATATGATCTGATATGAAAGAGCCATGTCATCAGATAATTGTAGAGCTCAGATATTATTTATCGAATTTCAGCGAACAATGATATTTTCAATTTTTCAATGATTAAAACTTTTAGCTTAAATCAGTATTCTATTAAACAGTAAAACAAATGGGTTGGGCCTTGGGAGGCGGGACATAAATATAATATCATGTAAAATAAGAAAATCATAAGTTTTATATTGGTCACACGGTATTTAAAAGCAAACTTATTCAACAAGAAATCATTTCCTAAGAACTAGAATCTGAAACAATTTGAGAAAATGTCGTCTCAAATGTACTATATCCTATGTTCAGAAAACTTTGATTCAGCATGTGATTATTCATTGACATCATATTAGAATCAAATTGTAGCAAGAATCAGTTGACACGCATTTGAGAAATAACAAAGTAAAATGTTCTTAAAAGTTATAAAACATTTATTTAATTTTAACGTTCTATTTGATCTATCGTTCTATCTTATTATAATATTCTACACACAAAATTATACTTGCTTAAAAGATTTTTCAAAAGCTAGTCAGATTACACTTGAACAAGTTTGTTTATCACTTAATCTATGATACAAATATTTTTGAAATGACTTTTGATATATCATATTCTAGTAATTTACTACTGCACTAGCATTAAAAATCTAAGGAACTGCATTCATCAAACTGTAACAAACACATCAAAAATAAATTAATTGTCAATAAAATCAATGCATACCAAAATCAATTATCTTTTAAATCTGATTTTTATTCTTCTAGCCATATTTTTGTCGAATTCTGTAGTATCTTCGAGTTTGATTACAAAGGGAATCAAGCATAAATGAACTTATAAAATAGCTGATAGCTGCAAAATTTCATAAATTACACATAAATATGTAAATAGATAAATCATAATCACAAACTTAATAATTTATTGATGCTTAAATCGAAGACGGTTCAAAACATCAATTAGATTCTATGATGATAGATCAGAATTTAAAAGTTCAAATCAAAGTCATCATCGATGGTTACAACCAATGACACTGATACGAGTTTTTGCACTGACCGAGTCTGACTTGCACTTCAAAAAACCTATCCTTAAAGGACCAACCATGATAAAACATTAACCATATAATAGTAGAAATTAATAATAATAAATTAATAAAAAACAAAATTAGTATAAGTTACTTAACCCCAGGAGACAGTTAAAAGTCATCACATTTTGAAACACCTGGGTGCTTTCAATTATTAAAATTAGGCTTAACAAGGCAATGATAGAAAAGGCGGAACACTTTTAGTACCGTAACCCCAACCTGACATTAAGATGTGTATAAATCATGTAAAAGCAATATAAATAGCAAAATTTAAAATTCGTTAATAATTATATTGAAATTCGTCAGATGAGCCAAGAATACAGTCCAAGCGAAAAATCAATCATTATCAATATTACCATGAAAGGTTATAACAAATATAATAATAAATAAAATAAATAGTCAAATAATTGCTATCGAATGCTAATGTCACGAGCATCAACACAACATTCAGATAGCTTAACTTTAAAAATTACAACGACAACAATTTTAAATTTAAGTCAGCATGTAGATCGACTAAGATTGGGCTATGACTTAATATGAGAAATAACTTATCTTTACAGAACTCAGGGGAGAGTTTAAAACCGTTTCCAATATGACAACATTGCTATGAACATAGATTATCTGTGATTTCATTGAACCACACAGTTTTTTTAACATCTTTTGGCCGTTTCCAGTTTTTATCATCAGGAATTCCTCTTTACAGTCTGTTTGGAAGGTCTCTAATGATGTTATGACAAGGACAACTTTCTTTTGCCGCCTGAGAGAAATCTTGGCAATGCATGCAAAAGGTCTTTCAGCAGGAAACATAATTTCTGCAGCGGATGTCACATACACGTTGTCACAGGAGTTACCTTCTACAGATAGTGAATAGTACTTTTGTTCAGCAGGAGGGTGTACAGGAGGGCGACAAATTTTTGGCTTTCTGGAGCATGGGTTAGGGACAAATTGGTAGAAGACTTTAAATCCCTTCAGTTGAACAGAGCTGTCAGATCGAAACAGTAATCTAACAAAAGGACTTCTAACAATCATCTTTCGTTCAAACTTATTTCCACAAAATTCAGCCACAGATTCCCAGTCATTTTTAAACCATCTCCTAATACTCAGCACGTCAAATAAACATGTATGACTTGACTCTAGCTCTAACTTGAAGATCTGAAGTTTAATCTCATAATCAGTTGGAGCTCGGATCTCCCAAGAGCAGCTAGCATCTGGAGGATAATTGTAAGGGTAATTTGGAGAGAAAATCATCCCCTCAGGTTGTTCAAACCAATGGCCATTACAAGACAAATGGCAACTTTTCCCATCACTCCCAAGTAGATAACCTCTACGACAACGACATTTGTATCCCTTGTGAAGCTCCACACAGTTATGCTGGCAGTCTCCATTGTTCTTTTGACATTGATTCTTATCAGGTCTGCAGTGATATAGCTTATTGGCCTGACGGATGTCACTTATTGATAGCTGTTCTCGTTGGCCGATAGACTTGAACTTAGATACTGGAATGAGGGTTTTCTTGTCATTATCTCTGCTGAATGAACGTGGGCTATAATGCATGATACTGTTGTAGTCATACCGTTCTCCCAGGCTGTTGATTTCAGTAAGATTTTTCTTCTCGAAGTTGTGAAGTGATTGGGGATCAATGTTTTCCTCTCTAAGTTTAACAAATCGGTCTCTATCAGGTCTTACATGCTCATGCCAAAATCCAATTGCGTGACCAATTTCATGGAGCATGTGACCAACATTCTCACAATCCTGACCACTTATGCTTATTTCCTGAGGCTTGTTATTCCCAAACTGCTGGCGACCAACAAAAGAGCAACAGCCACAATCTTGGGGTTCAAATTTAAGCCCATACGTCTCATTGGAAAGTGGTACAAACTTCAAACAAGTATGAGCTTCCCAGATTCGAATAGCAGTTTTTATGTTTTCATATATGTTATCAGTAAATGCATGGGAAATAGAGTATGGTATGACACCATGAGGCCAAAGGAGATCCCTCACAAATGTTGCACCACGCTTTTCTCTGTGAGAATCAGTCTTTACTGCGATATCACTCTGTATCCTATGATGACTAGCATGGCATGGGCTATTGATAGAAGGGGTGGACTGAGAAGAAAGAGTGAATAAGATAAAGTATGCGAAGGTTAGCATTCACCTCAGTCTTTCAATATTGTGTCAGCATCACTTTTCAGAAGTTAATTGGCCATCTTTTCCATTCCTGCGATAAGATTTTATAAAATACAAGATTTAAAACAGATATTATTATTATATGGTGTATTCCAAAAAATAAAGATATATCATGCAACGGTTCATTAGTTATGAACACGATTTAGTAATTCAAACTTAACACTCTATGGTCAGTAGTGAAACACAATGGTCAACATTTAAGCAACATATGAGTCGGTCAATTCATAGTAGTAAATCCTTAACAACAATTACTATCTCTTCTTTATATTTGTTTCACTAAAATAAGTTTCACTACTAAAAGGCGTAAAATAAATATATGAAAGCAAATAGAAACGGCTCATAAGGGTGTAATTAACATTCCAGAGCAACACAGCCATGAACTCCATATCAATATCAAGAATGTCGTGACCCATCCACCAGCGAATGGTCATCAAAATGTAATGTTTAACAACATTCGCTTGTGGTGTTATCAATAGCATCGCTTGACTGTAGCTACCATGACTATCCCACTTTTATAGTGCTCAGGACATTTTATCGACTAGAATTTAAAAATGAATGTGCACAATCAACACAACTTCTTATGGAAGGACTAATTTGCCATTAGTTGTATAATACCTATACACCTACATGGCAGGAAACTATGGGATGTATGAACATCAGCCCACTATACAGGACGCTCGTCGCTCTTACTCAATTTTAAAATTTGATGATCGCAGACATTTGACAAAGTTGACAGTTGAACAACCTTCAACACTCAAATAATGAATACCAGGTTTTCAATGCACACATTTTATCATCATGGTGAATTAAAAACTGTATAAACAGCCTTTATAATATATGTTCCATATATTATATATGGACCGTCGACGGGTCTAACTCGGCGCGCGTCCTGTTAGGTTGTAAACCTACATGAATACTTGGAGAAAAAAGTGGCGCGCGCTACATCGAAGACATTTATACGAATTTTATCAATTACCAAAATGTTTTGTCCTCAATTTTGCAGTAAATGTTGTATACCAAAAGTTGCTTCTAAGTATGATAATTAATAGTACAAAATCACCATGCAGCTTACTGGGCGACGTTCACTCTGTGATCATCCCGCTGAATCTTTATAAAATATTTAACGGGTAAAGCAATTGTAAAATATTTTTTTCAAGTATTAGACCGTCGACGAGTCCAACTCGGCATGCGTTTTGTTATAAACTAAGTTATAAACTTGTAGCGCGATGCACTACTGGGCCGCGCCGCGCATCAAATGATTCTTCTCGCAACTTCGGTAGATCGGCGAAATGCACCGCTGGGTCTTGACGGATGTTACTCGTCTAAATTTCTTCGAAGTAGCGCGCGCCGCTTTCTTTTCGAAATGTTGGCCCGAAGTGCTACGAAGATAGTTGCACGCACCAGGCCAGCCCATTAACATTGGTCAACACTCAACACTGGGCCTCACCGAGCTGCGAAGGATTGACATCGTGAATCAAAATCCTTTCTTACTCTTAGCACTTAATAATAACCAGAAACTGACTACATGAAAGGGAAACAGGCACATGATAACAAAAAACGGTGTGATAACTATTATTGAATATTATCGCTCCAATGTCCTACTAAATCGCTCTCCCAAATTTTAAGAAAATTCTTGTGAAAAGGCCCTTTGTGTATGAAATTGATCTGAATCGGTGTATTTTTGGACGCTGATCCCGAATCACCCGCTATGACGTAGGGTATAGGTAAAAATTCTTCCCTGGAGAGAGTTGGGCATGGGGAAAAAAGCCGTTTTGGTCACTTGACATGGGCTAGTAAAACATGAATTCGATTGTTTAGGGCTCATGTTTGATGTTAGAGTTAGGGTTGTAGTACAGTATGGATAGCTTTGGGGTTATGGTTAGGACGTTGGGATTAGGGTTTATGCATTATGTTGTAGGTTAACAACCTGCCAGGACGCGCGCCGAGTTGGACTCGTCGACGGTAATATATCAATATGGAACAGATATTTCACGAGTATCACCCGTTAAGCATTATGTAAAACCGTTTTGTACGACTGCAAAACCATAAAAGCCTAAGTCACGTGAAATTTTTGGGCGAGCGAATTAATAAGAGCCGGCTATTATACGTCTTAAAAATTGTAATCATGCAGTCCACAGTCGATCATGATATAGATAACTGCTAATTCAAGAAATGCACCTCTAAGATCAAGCATGAGCATGGGAGAATTTTATAGAAAATACAGACATGATATTATTTACTGTGTACTGGGCGGCGCTCAGCCTGTCATTCCGCCGAATCTCTATTTGAACATAATACTAATAGCCTGGCGTCCCCAGGTAAGATATTCTGTGATCAAGATTGATTTTTCCACCGGTTTTTATCACTATTTAAACTGTTAAATGTTTCGTGTGAATAAAGTTAAACACACTCTATAAAAAGATGTTTTGAAGTGGAAGCTTTGCAGCTGCTTCCTAACAAAATATTTAGTTTTAAATTATAACAAGCGCTACTTGATTTAGCTACAATTTAAACTAACTGAAAGTACAGCTGATTAGGACTTTACATCACAAATTCATCATTGAGTCCATCGCTCGACGTTCCCTTATAGTTATGGGGTCGTCCACATATTACGTAATCACTTTATGGACAATTTGTAACCCCCCTCCCCCTCCGTAATCAGTTTTACACATAGCTATTAATATGTCAAAATTACACTAGCGTAATCATTTGGAAACCCCCTCCCCCTTCAGCTGATTACGTAATATGTGAACGACCCCCAAACACCAAAAAGTAAAAAAACAAAATTCGACTTCATCATTAATCATCACCAATAATTAATCCAATTCAGTGAATTGGATTAATTATTGGTGATGAATGATGATGAACTCAATTATTCACTACATCACACACCAATGACTAAAGGGATATGAACTTGAATCTGTTTGACCCTCACTTTCGTTTTGACCCCCACAGTAAAACTAGCCCAATACTCCAGTACCATGATATTACAATGTGCAGTTGTGACGTCACAGATGTTAGGTATGAAGATGGGAACACAATCCCACAGGTAGGTTTCATGAGGAGGGATTCCACCGCGCTTCGTGCTGCAGATTCGCTTGTGTACCGTGTCTGTTTGGCCACCTGATGTTGAGATTAAACATGTTTAGATGAAATTTGTAAGAAAGAAAGAAGCAAGCACTTATAATAGATAACAGTTAAACACGTTCGGCGGACTTAGACACGTGGAATTCAACGGAAACATGTTTCAATCTATAATCAATGAGTTTTTATAAAATATAAATATTTTACAGCATAACAAGACGCTACCACTTAATAATTAATATGTATATATAAGACAAAGCGTTTATAAAAGTCGAACTTCCAGAATCAATGGAATAATCATTCATTTAATAATTCCAGACATAACATCGAGATCCTTTAATCTCAACCTCGTGCACAACCTGCAACCTGCAACCTGCAACCTGCAACCTGCAACCCTCAACTTCCAACCTGCAACCTGCAACCTGCAACCTGCAACCTGCAACTCTCAAACTGACCTGCTTTAAAAGTGATCGTCTGATTGATTGCCACCTCTGAATAGATGACCTCTCGTTTAGACATGTTCCTTATATCTGCAGTAACGTGCATGTTCTCCCCAATCTGATATCCTGTTTTAGGGATCGAGAAGAGGAAGGAGATCTCCCCTGAGCCACAGATCACGTGACTCATTCGCTCAAACGCTTGTTCGTATCTGGGAGATAATGTAGGACTCAGACATTGCTCTGTTAGATGTTTATATAATTGCATATTATCTTCCTAACAACAAGAAACTTGTCGTTCACATAAACTGATGTTTTATTCTTCCACTGAAACTAAAATATAATAATGTGACTTATAAAGGGATCGAGGGAAAGAAGAAGAAATCTCACCTGCTGTTAAGAATACCAGGCACAACAGAGATGTTGCAACTTCTAAAGAGGACAAATTGCTGCACTGACACACCACCAAGGCGGAGTTGCTGGGGTTCTGAGAACAGCTCTTTTATATCCAGATACGTATCTTGTAGGAACTTTGGTAGAGGTGTTTCGTAAAACCTGGGTGAAATTTCTGGTAAAAAAAGGTGAAATATCATGACCCAAATAAATAAATACATAAATTCTGCTTCATATTTCGTAAAACAACCCAAGCTTTAAGTTTAAAAGCAAATGGAAAAGTGAGCTGGAAAACTAGAGGGTAACCTGCAGTAAAGGACGTATCTAACGTATCCATGTATCGTGTTTATCGTATTGGGTATCTTGAGGGGTAACGTTATGCTGAACTCAAACGTGTAGGAACCTAGGAAATAGGAATGTACACAAAATTCCAGTTTTTAATATAAAAAATGTTTAAGACTTTTAGTTTTCGTGAGCGTGCACGTTTTCTCAAGTATTAACAAGTAAAGTATTAGTAATGAGACAGCAGTCTCAAGTATAAGAATTACAAAAATATCAATATGCATCCCACTTTAAGAACAAACCAACTTTGGCAGTGATTAACGTTTATCTAGCGACAACACAAATCCGAGACTAATAATTCTGGCAGCATACATATCAACAAACCAGAAATCTAGAAAATAAAGTCGTGTGATTACTGATCAGTCACCTGGCTGAAAGAGCATGAGATTCTGACCATCTCCTGCTGTAAACTTATCCTCAGTAAAATAAATCTCCTTGCTCTCCAGCAACTCATTCTGTCTCAGTTTCTTCCTGTTAGGGTTGATCCGAACGTAGCCCCCTCCTCTGCAGGATAAAACTACACCACGACTCTTCAGAGGACCTGACACGTGACTGTATGGTTAATGGAATGTTTCACTTTCAGTACTGCTTGTTATTGAAGCAGTTCTATAGTCACACCAAGTAGAAAAGAGAAACAAGAGAAGGTGGTGAAAGAGAAAGAGATAGAGAGAGAAATATAGAGGTAGAAAGAGTGTTAGTTTTACCGGTAAGATCTACAATGACGTGTCCAGTGACATCCTGGCCAGGTTGATATGTTCTGTTGCTATCTAATACTATGTCAAATCTGGGAACACTCATCTATATTCCACTCCGACTTCAACTCAACATCACTTCTCACTCAACAGTAACAAAGACAACTGAAGATTTATCCGCAAACTGACTGAAAATAAGTTTAGACAGAAGAAACCGGAACACAAGAAAAAAGCTTCCAGATAAAATGTTTTATTCGTCTATTAAAAGTACTACGTGTTTTCGTTGCTTGTCAGATTTCTACAACTAGATATGAAGCGAGGAGTAACAAGCAACAGCTTCACCTGCCGGGAAACATGAATGTGCTTGTAATTGCTTTCTAGATATTGAGATATTTCCAGCTTCTTTGTGGTGCTTCACACAGTAACCGCAGAGTCAATGCTAATTTGTTGATGGTAACACTTTTGTCTATTTTAAAATTACTGACGAAACTTCTTTAATCAAAGCGGCCCGTACGACAACTAAAAGATTGATTTTGGAAACGCTAAAATTGAATGTCAATCAAAAAGCAAATGGAAAAGAAATTCAAAATATTTTTCAAACATCTGAAAGTGTATCTAGATCCCCTAATATTCCAGACAGTCAATTCCAATCTTGAACCTAGCAAATTAAATAATCATTCTCTTATTGTCTACGATATTGAAATTCAAGACAAAACAATATTCCTTCTACAATATAGGAGATAAAGAAGAGTAAATAGACAAAGTACACGTAGCAGAGGCAGCACAAAAAGGAACACAGATAGCCTGCAAGGCCTCAAGATGAGTAAATTGTTTCACTCATTTAGTCATTTCGGAAATCGTCAGTCGATCTTTCACTTGGGTTCACGAGGTCCTACACATCGTGTCCAAGGAACCTCAGCCTCAGCCTCAGCCTCAGCCTCAGCCTCAGCCTCAGCCTCAGCCTCAGCCTCAGCCTCACCCTCTAGGGTAGGACGACGTTTACCCTATCTCCTATATAACTTATAAGAGATATTTTATGTTCATATTATTATCTAATTCTAAAATAATCACAACTTAGCAAAATTTGACTTAATAACGTTTTCTTCAAATAAGAGCGAAAGATTTGCCTGAGTCTCAGTTTCTTGCATCAGTTCCTGACTCCAACTGATTGACGATTTTGACTGACCGTAGGTACGACTGACTAATATAAATTCAGCGAGGACTTTATGGAGATGGTCTACGACCTTGGGAAGCATCTTAGAGTTTAGCGATTGATAAGATCTCCTCGCACAACTTTTTGTATTCCCAAGTATCACCCTTGACCCGCTTTCTTCTTACACCTGACAAATAAACATTTTGTTTCGATACAACTTCATGAGCCCGGAATAAAATTAATAGATAGACGCTTTGTCTATCTTGCATGCAGGATAGTATCACACCAAAACTGGAATGGTATAAGAGAAATCCACAAACCTATAAGGTCCATTCTGGGGAGGTGACAGACTTCCAGCTCGAATACAATGTTTGTTTTACCGCGTTTATCTGCTACTGTACACCTCAGCAGGTAGTTGGGACTGGAAAATAACGGGTTATACTAGTGACACAGTAGACTGAGATAAAATCAAAACAAATTAATATCCAGGTGGATGGATGCTCAGAATTATGAATTTTGGATGGTGAAAAACTAAAACAGGCTGTTTTGCACGGTGCCACTGTTTACACTTTACGATTGAGTGGATCAGGCCCATTACGTATGTTGACAAACTATGACACTTTCTCTACAAAAATAGAATTCTTGAAAAGTAAAGGTTTTTCTACCGCAGAATTGTAAAATATACCGGCAGTGGTTCAGTCATACAAAATAGAGTCTGATTTAAATGTTTACATTTCTAAAAGATGTAGTTAATATTCATTGTCGTGATGTTCGATTGTTGTAGGACTATTTCTTTGTCTCTAAAAGTATGATACAGTAAAAAAATTTGCCCTTACTCCTAACTTCCTTGTTTCATTTGTCCTTGTCTCTTCCAACCGGATAATATCCAGATATCAGTATTTCAATCATGAGACTAATAAACAGCGAACTACTCTGTTATTTGAAAGTAATATATTGAATAATGATATCATGAGACACCACTTAGGCTGAACACATGTTTCACTAAATTTTCAAACATTTACCATTTTATGTTGGTACAAGTTGCAACATTATAAGTATAATAACGGTTAAGAACTAAAGTACTGAAAACGTTGTAAAATAATCCTGCTCTAACTGACTACAATGTACGGATGTAATAGAATCGAGCTAATACCTTTTTTTAAATTACAAAATTAAAAACTTTGAACTTTTTTTAAATAAAAAAACCCATGAAAATGGCGTCGTTATATTGCCCATAATTGACATAATTGTCTGTTATCTTTATAAACTAGTGAATGTGATGTAAAAAGATCATTGTCATGGTAAAAGCTTTTCTTTGTGGAAGAAATTGGATTCTGAAAATCTATAAAACCATCAAAATGATCTTAAAAATGCAAAAAAACTAATTTAACCAAACATGCGTCATACAATACTTGCATATTTATTGGCATGTTGCCAATGCCACAACACTTGGCAAAATGTTGTCCATAAAATAATGTCCAACTTAAGTGACTGCACGGAGTCGACTAATATTTCCAACCTAAGTTCCTCAAGGTTTTTCTTTGACTTCAACCTGGAGCTTCGTTAAAAACCCAGCTAAAGCCCCCTGGATGTCTCTAACCTGCTCTATCGCCCTGGTGATGTTCTGTCTCTTGTCTTGTGGTTCCATACAGTCGAGATGTTCTCCAAACCACTCAAGTGCCTCATATACCTCACGTTTACAGTCATCTAATTCATGGTGCCAATCTTCGGCTGCCTGCTGCATATTCATGTCGATAGTCATCCTTTTGATAATCTTATCCAAAATGACTTTGTTAAGCTCTTCAACCTTGTTAGAGTCTTTAGAATCGTTACCAAACAGTCCCAAATAACGCCGTGATTGTAGGAACCGGTGTTGAGATTGAATCTCTAACTTTTCAATGAGCTCTTCAACTGCCATGTCAAGATCATCACTCACAATACCTCTAATTTCTTGAACCTCCTTCATGCCTGAATCTGCAGATTCTTGCAATCTTTTGTAGCGCTTCTTGTCCATAAAATGGATGGGGTTATCCAAATGGTGCTGAGCATGAGCTGATTGCTCGACCAGTGCTATTTCGTGAGCTCGACACGTGTTCAGTATAAATGTCTTGGACACTTCAGGTAGCTGGACTACTCGAAGTTTTGTAGGCAAATACATGGAGGGCAGATGTCTGTTCCCATCCTTCTCCCATTTATGTTCCAGATAGGACCTGAACTCTCTAGCTTTGTCCTTGTCTACACAATGGATCAGTTCCCAGACGGGACGCAATTCAAAATCAAAAGGATATTCATTTGTACTGTCAATTGTTTGAGCCCACTCTCGGGCGATCTCAGTTGCTGTTGAAACCTCAGATTTTTCACTTGTCCCTACTTTGAACCAAAGGTCAGTTTCCCCACCCTCAGCTCTCCACTCTTGCCTAACATTCGCAGTTTTATTGGAGGAACTACGCCCACTTTCAAAGGAAGCTGTAGCACTGGCGCTCGCACCAAGACACTCCTTACCAAACGCGCTCTGCAGCTCTGCAGTTATCTTAGACTCATTGTCCTCTTCGGTTGCCTCCATCACATAGGTTCTCTTCACCATACCACCCAGCTCCAGTTTCACCGCATAAAACACCCCAATCCTAGTCGCGATGTCCTCCACGCTGAGATCTTTAACAGAAGTCTTGAAATCCTCAGTAAGATGATCCTGTGGATGAGTCCTGAACCTCCCCCTGGCGGTTATACTGGTATTGGTACAAACCCCGATAGCATCAACTCTAACCGTGTGGTACTTGGACTTCCCTGAGGTCTCTAGTGCCATGCTGGCTGCCCCGGAGAAGGCTTTGAAGTGAGCTCCAACATTCATGCTGTCTGCTGCATGATGCGAGGCCGTGTAGTTGGTATCAGAATACTGAAGCTTCATGTCTATTGTATCGTTTGTGGAGATGGAGATGTCAACCTTTTCGTCTATCTCGAATATTTTGTCTCCTTTCAATAGGTATGTTGGTGAGTATGCATCTACGGTGTAAGCGTAGCATATTGCACATGCCAGTGACTCGTTGGTGACATCTGTGTGTGTCATAGTACTGAAGGGTTGGAAATATACAGTTTGTAGTAAAATATTTGTAGTAAATATTTAAAGTGGAGCTTAACCAAAGCCGTGTTTCTGGATGTGGGATAATTAAGCAGTTAAAACAATTGTTTTTAGCAAATAAACTGTCGAAAGGCAACACTTTCTACAACACCGCCACAACGAAGCTCATTGGGTTTTTAGCAATTGCAATTAAAAGTAAACCAATGTATGCAAAATATTGAGGGACCACGAACCCTTTTAGCAAGTGTCGGAGCCGTTGACCTAATAAAATCAACATTATAAAACTGAATTACAGTCAGCTAAAAATTAGGATTGTAAATATTTATAAGATTAACATAATATGATTAATTTTATCGTCTCATGCGGTAAGTCCATCGATTCAATCAAATCCAAAGCGACTGTAAATTTTAATCATATTTCCACTTAAGATAACAAGTTTGTATTATATAATGCCAATTATTTTTTGCCGGAAAGGCATATCTTCTAGGTAAAGTCCTCCGTAAAAGAAATATACCATATGAAAATTTGGCTGGGCTATAGAAAAAAAACTTGGGTAATATCAAGATAAAATATAGGAGAAAGTGAGACACAAATGTGAGATGGGTAAGGGAAGAGATAAAGTTCAGACTATTTCTAATTCAACAAAGCTTACTTTTCTTTCGGTAACCTCAGTTGTTTTTAAATGGGACTTAATCAAACAATAAACTATGCTATAAATAAGATATAGCGTCAAAGTTATACAAAATAGTAAATAAGTGAAGTTATGATGTGATGACATGTAGTGTAACTTCAGACACGGAGTAGCTGGGCTACTACTAACTCTTCAGGTGTACTGATGTATGGAAACAAATCACGGTACTTTATATTTATAGTTATACAACTTACAAATACATTTTTACTATAGAAAAAAAAAAATAGTTTGGCACAACTTGTGCTAAATTTGAATATATTAGTATATTGGGTTAACCAGATCAGAATAAGTGGGATCTTTTGAGGTCGATTTTTAAAAGTTTATTATTCATAGCTTACAAGTCATCGATTACCGATACTAACTTCTTCACCGTTACAAAGGGGGGGGGGGGGTCACATAAGTACGTTTCGCCACTGGCCTCAGGTCTAAACTCAGATATCCAACTATACTATACTTATATTGGCTTTATCACCACAAAATAAAACGTATAAAATGCAACATGGAAGAGTCATGAGTGGCTAAATTATCGAGTGTGAGGGGAATGTGTTGCCCAAATGGACTCCTCCCAATGTTGGTCGGTGATTGACTCTTTGTAACAACTAATAAGGCTTAAGAATAAACATAATGCATAATAATATAATAACGTAAGCATAATAAATACAATATGTAATTAAGAGTGTATAATACGGGTCGTTTGTACGTGTTTCTCGGAGATGGCAATGTATTACTATTAGTATTTGCATTATTCATTTTATTTTGATAAACCACCTGTAAGATCCTATAATTTCACCACATGATTTAACTTTTTGAATAGTTGACGAACTGTTTAATTAGAAAAAAAATTAATCACACAACTAAATGATACTTCTAATCATAACTCAAACTTCTTAATCAAACTTCTACACTTACAAACGGTCTGATTTCTTGATCTGAACCCCCTTGATATGTAACGCTCTCTGCAGTTCCGCTAACACGTGTTCAGCGCTGTGGGTCGATGTGGTCGACACACTGTATAACGCCTGTTGTGGTACTTTTTAGATTAATTAATTTATCAGGCAATTGATTAATTGATACGATAATTAACCTATTAACTCATTAAGCAGGTGGCTACATAGTTTATTAATTGGTGGGTTTTTTTGAGATTTGAGATTTTAAGGTTAATACCTTCTACCTATGAACGGCATGTTTTGAATTTCTTAATTTGCGTTTTCAATTTGTTCGCGTTGATATCCCGAACTAAAGCCAGGGTTACCAAAACACTTGTAAAAGAAACCTTGTTAACTTTTCTGGGTCCGGTCGATTTATCTGTGCCGCCGTACAAACTCGATCTCTTTCCCAGACTGAATAATTGCCGTACAAACTCAGTTAAACTACTGCGACGCTGAAATGGGACAATATGAGTCATCATGACGTGATGGTTGCAAATAGCGACTTCCTAAGTCTGAGTAGAGCTGAGGGCTAGACTACATGCGTAAGTATCATGATTAAGAACAGAGCCCTAAACCTACCCTTCCTCCACAACCAGCGAACTCTCCACTTCTACTCTCCAACATATATTACCATATATAACCAGTACCACATTTTACCACATATTACCACATATTACCACCTAAACCTACCCTTCCTCCACAACCAGCGAACTCTCCACTTCTACTCTCCAACATATATTACCATATACCACATATTACCACATATTACCACCTAAACCTACCCTTCCTCCACAACCAGCGAACTCTCCACTTCTGCTCTCCATGCTGTGGTGGGAGGGTGACCCTTTAACAGAATCATCCGCATAAACCGCCATGTTACGTCTTTTATCTAGCGAACTCTGACATGACCGCGATCTGGGAATATGGATAAATTTAAAATTATCACAAAACCTTAAAAATATGATACCAATCAGAAGTTGTGGCAAACATTGATTAAAAGATTAGATTAGTTATATTAGTTATATTAAGGATCACGCTGCTAGAAATTAAGGTTACTAAGTTCTAAGTAAAAAAACAAAGTATTCGCATCGAAATCCCTTTAAATTTTAAATAATGATTTGCTCGTATGAGAAAATAGTATATCACCAAATACCACTCCCCTCCCCCACGAAGAAAAAAATGAACAAAGTAAGCTCCTTAATTAGTTAATTAGTTTATTAGTTAATTAGTTAAATGGTCGTTTTACCTGACTTTATCAGTTATGACAGTAAACGGCGTTTTGTCACGTGCGTGAGTAATCTCGTCCAGTGATTTCGAACTCTTTATCACCCCTAACGTTATCTTATCTAAAATTAGAAGATGATGAATAGATTATTTTATCTAATCGTCACTTGGGTTACTACAGGTAAAGGAAAGATACAAATAAACAGCTGTGTAGTTAGAGGTTTGTATGTTTGAGAGCATTGAACTATCTATTGAAAGCCCAAAACCTATTTGGAAGCAATAACGTGTGCCCCGAAAAAGGAGACATTAAAATCTAAGGTTACCTTGAAAACAAATAGGGAATATTTGGACTTACTATGATTGCCAGTTTTGCGTTCTTGACACGGCGAATTAGGGATAGATCTGCTGTTGTAGTCGGGAGCTGCAACTCCAAGTGATAGGTTGAACTTAAAGTGAACGGTGGGGGGAGCTGAACAACGCCGAGCCTGGCAGGGTTGAGATATTGGGAGGGGGGTTCCAACCTCATTTTACCTCATCCCAATTTTGCCTTTTTTGGCTGCCCGAATGAGGTAAAATGAGGTTGGAACTCATTTAGTAAAAATAAGCTTTTTCCATACCAACTATGTCAGTCTGTGATTTTCATCAAAGAAAACGTCGGAACTTGAAAACTATCAGAGTATTCTTACTAAAAGCTAATTATAGGATACGAACAATAATCCTGACCTTAATTACATATAACAGTTCGTTTGACAACTACTGTAACAGCAAATTGAAACATTTTTTAAAAAGCCGGTAACACAAGTAAGTACAATCTAAACACTGAGGACTATTTATGTTCCAATCAACATTGATATGCTGGCACACTAGTAACAATCCTGTTGGTTTATTTCTCTTTTTCTCTCTTGTTTCCTGATATGGTCTGTGAAACCCAAGATATAATAAGACCCTCTCTTCTGGGGAACACGTTTAACCCATATAAGGAGTTACAGATTCATACCATCCTAGGTTCTGTCAGTCTAAGGAATTTGAAATTCTGATTTGATAGGCTTGGCTCGACCACAGCGCGCCAGTCCACAGTCTGACCATTTAGCTACATAAAATACATATCGTGCTAACTGCTCTAACGCAGAATAGCCCAGTGACAGTTGAGCCGACTGCAGAACTAGGGTCACGAAATCAACTAATGTTTTCTAACATTGGTGGAAAATGGGTTCCACTTACTAGCTTACTAATTCTAAATAATTATATGAAACATACCGCCCTTCTACACTTAGCGACATTCATTTAGCATTTATGATAAACAATAAGCGAGCACAAGTAGACCTACAGCACCAGGGGGAAGGCAGGATCCTGACACTCGGTCAGCGGGATACCACAACCTACAGGCATGTTTATTTTAAATACCACAACCTACAGGCAGGTTTATTTTAAATACCACAACCTACAGGCATGTTTATTTTAAATACCACAACCTACAGGCAGGTTTATTTTAAATACCACAACCTACAGGCAGGTTTATTAAAGATACCACAACCTACAGGCAGATTTATTTTGACAACCTAAACTTTACAGTCATGTTTACAACAACCTACAGACTCACTTTACACCACAAAGTAAGAACCCTAACCAGGCCAAAACAAATTGTGTCACTATCTTTTGTTAGTTTAGGGATTGACATGTTAAAATATTTTAGATCCTCTCCGTAATCCGTTTTACACATAGCTATTATGTAGAAATCACAACACACTCCTCAAGGTGGGCTTACATAACGTTTGATCGATCCCTTCTAGTTAATCTGGAAAACCCGTCTAAACTTATTTTACAACTTAGTGATTTTATTGAGATCACATAATATACTGTGTGGTTATTTACATTGCAACGTTAACCATCTCTAACATGGCCCCTTTACCTCGCAGCGCAACGTGATAATATTATATTGTCAATATAAATCATAATAATATATCAAATCAATATTCTTGGCGATTATCCATTCAATAGTTAATTGTCCATTTAACCTCTCTATACCCTAATCCCACGGAGTTTCAGTTGGGACACGGAAACCTCTCGGAAAGCTATTTTCAGCATCAAATTAGATGGCTCGCCCCACCCACGCGATTAAATCATATTAAAATCTATTATAAGACTTCAGATTCTGGGAAACACCTCTAATACATAATATATAATATATAATATAAGTACCAACCTAGACAGCTTAATTATCTTGCCATTTTCTTTTGCTTTGAGCATTGAGAGGTATAGTACGGTATATTTATCGAACTCCCACTGAAATATTTAATATTAAAATTCATTTAAAGGTCTTGGTTTGTAGTGGGCGACGCCCGTCACGCCCAACCTAACTGATCTGTCATGAAAGTTAACTATTAGAGCACCATTATATATTGTCAGTGCTGATGTACCAGTTCATGGACTGTGAGGACTTTGGTGAAATGATATTATTGACCAATTCAGAACATGATAAGAATTAATAATAGGTCTATCAAAAGAATAGATAAACGAACGTGGTACTTACAGCGACGACTAAAGGGTGCATATCAGACAAGGATACGCCCATGTGTATTGCCATCTGTTGAACTATATCCATATCAACCTCCCGTGTTCGGATATCCTGCATTCGAGACTTACAAATATCTTGACAAACCAAACAAACCAGAGAAGTGACGACTTTTAGAGGACAGTTTTAAGAACCAAGTTCTATAAAATTTGACTTAAAAGTTAAAACGTTATGTCCATATATAGATATATCGCAAACAAAATATAATTATTTAGACTGGTAAACACTACAACAGATCCTGTTGTACAATGAGATTACATTACTTACCTCTAAAACATCAAATGGTTGAACTGGAGGTCTATCTCCATGACAAAGCCAGGGGTGGCTGAGGAGGTCCGTGACAGATAACCGTCTCTTAGGGTCCACCTGAAATAATCATTATAGCTTCATCTGGATTTAGGTATTAAGTAACGTAGTTATACATATCTAACTCCCTACAAAAGCGAAAACTGTGGTAAACCTTATTATTATATAACGGAACCTGAAGTAACCCCTGGATGAGTCGGGTGCTTTCTTTAGAGAGTCTGTCTGGAACCTTATAGCGTCCCTCCTGGATAAGTCTATATAGAGTAGCCGTGTTGTCGTCGTCAAATGGGAGAAACCCACACAGCAGAGCGTACAATAATACCCCCATACTCCACAGATCAGCCTGGAAGTGGTTCCATTACAAAAACGGGTTACCCGAACGTGAAAAGAATGCCGTAAGGCTATTCAGAATGTTGATGCACGTTCGGGAGCATGTCTAGATGTGACGAATAAATCGTTCAATATATCGATTGCATTTATAATAAAAACGCGCGTGCAGCGCCACATATTCAACAAATAAAAACTTCGCGCGCAGAGCCGTTTTCATCATCAAAACACTGTGTCGCTGCCATTTTCGTACATTTAATTTACATGGACATATGAGTGGTGAGTGTGCTACAGTATCATTTCAGAAATAATTTTGACAGCTACTTTTAAAAAGTTATTAGACAAAAATAATCCCAATAACTGATTCATTGTACTGTACGGTGAAGACCGAAATAGGTTGTGGATCGACCGCAGTGTATCCATGATAAATATATAGGGATGTAGGCTCCATTATAAATCAAAGTTATTAACTGTACATACCTCAGTGCCTATGTACGGCTGACCACTTATAACTTCTGAAATGGAACAGTTCGTTAATAACCAGTATTTACGGTAACAATCCGAACATGGTCATAATTTTATATAAATTCGTACGGGGTTCATATTCCTCCAGCCTAGCTACGCTTTGTTGCATTTATCAATGTCATCAGAAGCCCATATATGGTATTAAAACAGATAGAAATAAAGAAATTTGATTATATAAGTTACAAATTCTAGACTATTCATTTCTATGATCAAAATTGAGATGTCTATCAAATTATATGTTATCTATATAATTATCACAATATATTGATATGGTTGCAGTATAGAATACCATTTAAGGATACCTCTAATCACTCCTATCGATATCTGTCAAGATTTGCAGCTACAGAAACTTTGTTGCAGATATCATGAATTTAATGACTCTGGAAACTTCTCCGAGATTTGAAAGCTTAGTGTGGAATCTTCTTGGTTATAGTGGATAAAACAGAATTGAAAAAGCCCCCTTTTAAATAAAAGTTAAGACTAAGCCCAATATGCATTACCGAACCATTTAATGTTAATTAGGAATTACAACTATCCGGACATTTGATGTCTAAATATTAATCGAACTTCAGCACGGGACCGGGGACATAGGAGCATTACACTGACTCTTGAAGTGACATTTTTATTGGCTGCTGGCATCAGCTAAATTTAGGATTCTTAAATTAAAATAATCAAATTAAAATTGTAGAAGGGAGGATGTTTTGTTTTATTAAACAGTTGCAGGTGAAGGTCGCTGAGTGAGGTTAGTTGTGGAGTTATATTTTGTCTGGAAATGAAGGGAAACACACAGACTGTATTGAAGGGTGTTGCACTGTGTTGCACTATGTTACAGGGAAACACACAGTCTGTATTGAAGGGTATTGCACTGTGTTGCACTATGTTACAGGGAAACACACAGACTGTATTGAAGGGTATTGCACTATATTGCACTATGTTACAGGGTACTCAGTAGGTTTAATATCATCAGTAGCCCGAGCCGTGAAATAAGCCTAGTTCCTAATTTCATGCTAAGTTGACAAGCCATGAAGCCACTAAAGTTACACCAAATGTGTACCATACCTCCTGTTATAGAGTTATAAGCTACTCGCTAGATTAAGATGTTTTGTTCGCTTGTTTATAAGGTGAGCCCAATGCACACTGCCCAAGGTAACACCAACCTATTGAACCTAGACAATACTGAATTCTAGACTACATTTTAGTACCGTGGATAATTTCGTGATGGAACATACTGTAACATCAGGAACTTAGCGAATGAATACAAAGAAAAACCATTGTTTAGGAGACATAGGAGACTTAGGAGACATGAAAGTAAAGTTAGGACTTTATCCCAACTCTTTCAACCCCCTTTTCAAACAGTAGACGCAGATGTCAGGCTCTCCCGAGAGCTCTCCCGGGAGCAAATACTATGGAATATGGATTCATGCGGGCTCAGAATCAACTATTGCGACTCTGTGCTTCCTGTATCCTTACTGAAGATTAGGCTGCTAGGATATAATATTACCCTCTAAATAACCGGCTCATTTTACATCGTTTGTTACTAATATATGGACAAAATGATAGGCTGGGAATAATTTGATCATGAACATATTCTTATTCGGCCGACAAAATCCTTTAAAGTGTTTACTAGATGAAGTCAATTATTGATCGTAGATTTAGTTTCAGTCTGGAATATTCGACGAAATCTTCATCAATTCGTTTAAAAATTAAATGTCGATAAATACTTGGTCGATATTTGTTAGTACTCTCCTAGAGTCTCAAGAATGCAAACACCACTTACATAGTGGTTCTGTAGTTTAACTGTATAATAAGATAATATATTTATACCAGGCCGAGTTCATAGGTATGTGTAATCTTGTAAGATTACGCAACTCTGGCAACTATCAAATTCAAAATCCTCCAAATATCCAATTATATAGTGGCACATAAATTAGGGAATGTCATTGACACGTGACTACTCTTAAGCTATCAAGTGGTAACTCAAATGTAAGAGTCGGGATGTGACATTGTGGCACTACGATGTTACGGTGTGACACTGGGATGTGACAGTGTGACACTGCGAAGAGAAGTTGCTCTCTAAGCAAGAAGAAGATATGGCTAAAATCAGTGATTTGCAGGAGAAGTTAGCTTTGAAGAAGGATAATGAGATTGGAACTGTGAAAAATGCAGCTCAGAAAGAGATCAAAACCTTTTCGTCTCTTTTGGAAAACACATGCAAAAACGCCTTTGCACCGAAGAAGATCCAAGCTGCGGTGAAAAGGGTTTCCCTAAAAGAAGATCGAAGTAAAAATCTGATTATCTTTGGGCTTCCAGAGACTGAAGAGAACCTGGATGCTAAGGTATCTGGTATTTTGTTGGACCATCTCAACGAAAAACCGAAAATTTTGAGATGTAAACGAGTTGGAAAGGACACAAGTGAACGAGTCAGGCCAGTGAAATTCATTTTGTCAAGCTCATATCAAGCTCGTACCATCTTGAGCAAGACTAAGCTACTAAGACATGTAGACGGGTTTAGTTCAGTTTACATTACTCCAGATAGATCAGCTGCAGACAGGATGGCCTACAAGAAAGTTGTCGACCAGCTACTCAATAAAAGGACAGCAGAGCCTGACAAAGTTCATGTTATCAGGAACTTTAGAGTCATTAGCTCGGAAAAGGAGCCTTCAGAGCCTTCTATTTAAAGTACAATATTATATGTTTTAATTCATTGATTAATTAATTTTTTGCTAGGGCCCAATGTTATTGCAGGTGTGGTATTTCTTACTGCACACTACTGTGCTTTGGTTACCCCTCTTTCAATACATAATTTGGGTTTCATACTGGGATAGTGGATATTAGGGCTATATCGGTTTTCTCCTTTTATAACTGGGTTTATTTAGAAGCATTCAATTCTGTATAATTATGTATTGTTTGAAAAGATTTAGATAAAAAAATGTTACGGTGTGACACTGGGATGTTACGGTGTGACACTGGGATGTGACAGTGTGACACTGGGATGTGACAGTGTGACACTTTAAAGTGCCGCCGCCCAGCCGGTAGTGTTACCTGGTGCAGCGTAAGCTGGAGATCCGCAGCACGTGTGTAGAAGTTGGTGCTTGACGTCCTGTGTGCGGTTATCGGTTATAATTAAGTTAATAGTTAATAATATAACAAATAGTATGATAAAAATATGCCCTGGAAATATTTTAAGGTAAAAAGGTTTTTGGAATAGTTTTATGGTTATAAAAAGGTGTCTTGCAATAGGTTACCGGTTTTGAAATAATGGTTTACAATAATCTAAGTCTACATAAAGATTCTATTCCTTGAAATTTTTAAAATCTCGAGACTAGATTTTAATTGCTGTTAATAAACTTACCATCGGTTTAGATGCAAGACCAAAATCTATCAGCTTGAGGTTTTGCTGCTCATCTAAAAGAAGATTCTCCTGAAACGTAAGTTTTATTATTGTAAATCTTATATTACCTGAAACCATACTTGTTATAAGTACTACCCACCAGTTTCACATTACCATGAACCATGAAGTTAGAGGGCTTACTATCTTCACGCAGCTAATATATTTACATATTTACCGGGCAACCTTTTATGGTAATTACCCAACGACTTCCCCAAAACTTACGTTTAAAGCCGTAAGTTCTCTAAACTTTTGGGAAAGTCAGACCTTGCTAGATTAAACAGGAGACTTAATATGCAGTATAACCAATTATTCTCCATCAGTTTATCAACATAATACAGTAACCGAGATTAAGTATAAATTATAAAGAGTGACCCTTTAAACCCTGTTAAACGCGAATTATATTATTTGCAGAGGTAATATGGTGCATTACTTCTTTACTTGCTGCAGGATTATATTATATACTTATGATAATATGGTGCATTACTTGCTGCACCATATTATTTGCTGCACCATATTATTTGCTGCATCATATTATTTGCTGCACCATATTATTTGCTGCACCATATTATTTGCTGCACCATATTATTTGCTGTACCATATTATTTGCTGCACCATATTATTTGCTGCACCATATCACTTGCCGCACCATATTATTTGCTGCACCATATTTCTTGCTGCACCATATTTCTTGCTGCACCATATTACTTGCTGTACCATATTATTTGCTGCACCATATTATTTGCTGCACCATATTATTTGCTGTACCATATTATTTGCTGCACCATATTATTTGCTGCACCATATCACTTGCCGCACCATATTATTTGCTGCACCATATTTCTTGCTGCACCATATTACTTGCTGCAACATATTATTTGCTGCACCATATTACTTGCTGCAGTATCATAAGACATATGATTAAATTCGAGGATCATATAACCATATATTGTTATAATATTTCAATCTGCAGAATCCACAAGTCGTGATTACCAGTTAGAACGGACGCAAATTCTAAAACAATCCGGCCCAAATAAGGCACTCAATTTAAGTAGCACTTAAGCCACAAATTCTGACTAATCTCTACGGTGTATGAAATCGTTTTAGAAGGAAATGGTTAACGGGTTCAAAACTGGTTCTAAGACGTGCGGCACCAACAATTCTAGTGATTAATCCGGATATCTGGATCTTCAATAATTGTCCGCGAAATAACTCGACGTTAATTCAACAAGGCAAGTACTTGGGATCAGGAAAATAATCTGGATTGCACAACTAGTAGATTATTAAAGTTGGTGAGCCCTTTCATAATTAGTTATATTGGCTAATTAATTAATCTCTTTTATAACTCGAAAGTGTCTGTCTGTCCGCCCACGTGCAAATGTTCTCAGGCGCACTAACCCTCACATATGTTCGGGCATTATCGCGCGCAGCACTCAACAACCAAGGTATTACAGTATTACTTCAGGGCTGAGGAATGTAATTTAGGAGACTCCTTGTTTAACTGTCACGTGTGTTTAACTGTCACGTGACACACGGTTCACAAATCACGTGGTCTATAAATGGTAGATAGACTTTAGAACATAAGAACTTGAAGTTAATAATGTGCCTCACAAGGCAGTACGAGACCTTGCTTAATAACTTAATAACTAGATGGGTGGGTTCAACTTTAAAATGAGATTAAATTTGCGGTCAGGCCTGTTCCAGGGGGCTGTTAGCGCATCTTCAGTCTTCACACATACACACAATATCATCATTAGAGTTAGAGTAGACTTATTTAATGTTAGAGTATTATGTAATATGGTCTATATAATACTACATATATAATATATAAAAGTACTTTATTATCATAGTAATAATATATTATTGAGCAGTTTCGAATAACTTGGGTGTATTATATACTGCTATGAGGGTGGCCAAGCAACCACGAATAGGATGAACTTGCACAAATTTACAATTATTACCATCAGACCTCTGATTATAACCACAGTGGCTGAGTGGCATTATAACCACAGTGGCTGAGTGGCATTATAACCACAGTGGCTGAGTGGCATTATAACCACAGTGGCTGAGTGGCATTATAACCACAGTGGCTGAGTGGCATTATAACCACAGTGGCTGAGTGGCATTATAACCACAGTGGCTGAGAGGCATTATAACCACAGTGGCTGAGTGGCATTATAACCACAGTGGCTGAGTGGCATTATAACCACAGTGGCTGAGTGGCATTATAACCACAGTGGCTGAGTGGCATTATAACCACAGTGGCTGAGTGGCATTATAACCACAGTGGCTGAGTGGCATTATAACCACAGTGGCTGAGTGGCCTTATAACCACATTGGCTGAGTGGCATTATAACCACAGTGGCTGAGTGGCATGTCATCACTATTAAATATAGTACTACCCCATCTATTTATGTCCAGCGGCCTCTCCCCGAATAAAATGCTATTAGCGTCACAATATCCAGGGAGGCTGTACCCACTACCCGCTAGAGGGGAGGGGGGGGGGGCAATGGCATATAATGGCATAAAATGAAGAATTTTTCTATGGAGAAAATGGAAAAACCCTTGAGTAATTCTCCATTTATACCATTTCATGCCATTGGCCCCCCCCCCCCCACCCGGTACATCTACTGACATTCCTGCGTATTTCATAACAGGGCAGCCCTCCCACGCAGTTTGAACTACGCCCACAATCTCAGCAGGGTGTACCCCTACTTGAACAAGTGATGGGAGGAGTGTTACTCTATTCTAAATCAGCACAGCACCACAAATCTTCTGATTAATTTCATACTGTAATCTGTATGTAGGTGGTGGACCGGGAGATTAGGTCAAATAAATTAAATACATAGGACGGACATTATTCCATTTAGGGTATTTAATTTGAGCTATAGCGTGTGTGTGAGTGTGAGTGTGAGTGTGAGTGTGAGTGTGAGTGTGAGTGTGAGTGTGAGTGTGACCTCAGACGGTACATTGTGTTTTAATTCTAAATTACCAACAAGTTAAACGGTACTACATGTATCTCAAATGACTCGTGGTATTAAATGCTGTTTACAACACCGCTCTAAAGACCTAGACTACCTACTATACCTACCATACTAAGTAGACTACCTACTATACCTACCATACTAAGTAGACTACCTACTATACCTACCATACTAAGTAGATACTTACTCTGAGAGTGATGTTTTAAATATTAAATGACCTACAAAGTTAAAGGATACAGCAGTTTAAATAACATGTTTATTCGTCATTACATTAAATTGTATGTGATACCGTTTATTGTCGTCTACCTCTGGGTACCATCACCATATTGCTGTGAGATGTGAGTTGAGATGTGATCTTAAAACGAAACATTTGGTAACTATTTGGTAACTATTTGGTAACTATTTGGTAACTATTTGGTATCTATTTGGTAAATTTTTGGTAACAATTTGGTAACTATTTGGTAACTATTTGGTAACTATTTGGTAACTATTTTGTAACTATTTGGTAACTATTTGGTAACTATTTAGTAACTATTTTGTAACTATTTGGTAACTATTTGGTAACTATTCAATGGTAACTATTTGGTAATCAAAGCCTTTACTCAGAAGTCCAATCTGGATACCGCACTAATCACAGCTGTGAAACATTACTTGTAAGAATGTGTGATGATCTTAACAAAGAAATTGAAGCTGGGAATGTTGTTATAGTTGTACTTCTCGATTTAAGTGCAGCATTTGACACCATTGACCATACAGTCGTATTGGAAAGACTATGGAAGACTATGGAATTACTGGAAGTGCACTGCAATGGATAAAGTCATAACTTGAGAAAAGACACTTCTGTGTTAAGATTGATGATACTCTTTCTTCTTTCTTGGAGCTTCTGTTTGGAGTTCCCCAGGGATCACTCTTGGGGCCTATTCTCTTCATCCTCTATATCAAAGCTCCCCAGAAATTGTGGCCAAATATGGTCTTGATATACAGCTCTATGCAGATGATTCCCAACTGTACATCTCATTTCAACCAAACCGTGTGGTACAGTTCACTGATGTCCGAGACACAACAAACAAATGTCTTGCAACAATTTCATGATACTGAACGAAACAAAGACACCGAAATTGTATGGCATTAAATTGATGTTGGTGAAACAACTGGTTATATCTAAATTAGATTATTGTAATTCTCTGTACAGTGTACATGAATCATTGAATCCACCCAAGACCAGATTAAACAAACTTAGATCAATCCTTAATGGGGCAGTTCGTTTCATCTATAACATAGAAGAGTAAGAAGGCCCACATACTCCCTATAGACCAGCGAATCTTCTTCAAAGTTTGTCTATTAACACACAAATCAGTTCACGGTACTGCACCTGGTTACCTCAAAGCATTACTGGATGTGGATGTAGTGGATACAGAACTCTCAAACACCGTGACACCGGTTGCGTGGAACTCTCTTCCGCTGATGTTGAGATGTATTACTGATACCAACTGTTTCAAGCGAATGTTAAAGAAGTAAGAACCATTTATATAATCAGTTTTGATGTTTTTTCTTTCTATTGTCTTCACTTTGCAAGACAAAAATTTTTTACCGCACTCCATTTTATGTCTTGATCTCTACCTTTCTAGGATCTGTTTCTTTCTTGATTGATTATGTCACTGTACTTACCTTTATTATACCTACATGTATAATTGTATGGTTCTGCTTCTATTTAGTTTAGTGTGGTTTACAATAAAAGATGTTTTAATTTTGTCTTTGCCTTATGATGAGTTATACTTTTACACATTTGCTCACATCACTCACAGACAGCCGCTCTGACATGGTTAACCACCTTCCTTGTGTTGTTGGTTAATCATATGAGCGGGATATAAATACCTCATTTCATTTTTGGTAACTATTTGGTAACTATTTGGTAACTATTTGGTAACTATTTGGTAAACTATTTCTTTAGATCGATCATATTGTTTCAAAGACCGTAAAATGAACGCAATTCTCGTGTGATTAAATTGTGATAGTGTGACTGATAGTTCCTTTTAAAATTACTCCAGT